TAGACTGTACCTACCAATTTTTTTCATCTTTGAAGTTTGAGTAATAGCTGGTTAAAGTAGAAAAGTAATTTCAGTCTGCGGGGAGGCAATTTGATAATGGTTTTGGGTCGGAGGAATGGCCAAACTTTTGAAGGACAAGAGTACAGGCCCAACCACAATGGGATATTTTTTTCCTTGGATATGATTTAGGCAGCCATGCAGTATGGGAAAATAGGACAATTGGGAGAAGAAGGAGACAAAGAACATTTTTTCTAAGTGGAGTCGAAGGGCCTGAAATTATTAAGATGGAAACACGGGTCAGTGAAAGTTTCTCATTAGTCCAGACCTGAGAATCCCCAAAGGTGGAAGGATTTGATGCTGCAAGCCTGCAGGGTGGCAGATTGGCTGTCATGTAGCTGCGCAGAATCTCACCACAGTTGTTAATGCTGTGGGAAGAAAAGAGTCAGGGTTTTCTTTGGAAGAACAGCAGCTCAGTTGGGGTTAGGCTGAGCTTGGAGTGGCAGGCAGACATCCAGCTGGACCAGAGATGTCAACCAGGCAACAGAGGTGCACGCCTCAACCTGATTATCAGGAAGGAGAAGAGAGGCAGAGTTGGGTGCCAGTGAACTGATGTAAATTATGTAGTTATGAATGTGGAAAGAAGATCAGGTCAGATACCTTCTTTATGACAAGATCAGTTGGACATGTAGGATGGAAACACACACCCAGAGATCCTCTTGTTGGCCTGTGCTGGAGTCTGTTGATTGACAGTATTAAATGCAATGAACAAGTCTGGGAGAGGGAGGGAAATGTTACAGTTTAAAGGAATAGTTATACTCCACTATTATTTAGAATATAAAAATACTCCAATAATACAATAATATGCTTATGTTATTCTGGTTTTATGAGCATTCTTGTATACAGCGCAATAGAATTATGCATCTTAATAGGGGTTTTTACTGCAGTTTGAGACACATGGCCTCTTTCCTGTTTACGTTCAGCTCTACTCGCCAAGAGATTGCAAGGCTGTGGTAAAGACACATGCCCAAACGAAAAGCCCACATTTATGGTCAGAAGGAGAGACACACCTACTTTTAGACATTATGAAAGACTTGGATATCAGCAGGTTTTTGGATATGCGCAAATATCGTTATGCCGACCTTTTCAAGAAGATGGTGAAAGGAATGAAGGAGGGAGGCTGTGTTTGCATTTAAACACGTCTGCCACAAGTTTAAAACTTTAACAAAAAAAAATCTTGTTTTGATGCAAAGAATCAAAGTGGCACAAGCAGCTCCATCTGTTCCACTTTTCCAGATTTTTACATGATTAACACAACGTTAGGGCACGTTAAAGGGATAGTGCACCCAAAAATGAAAATTCATTCATGACACTCATGACACTCATGTTAAAGTGCACAACATTACAGCTGAAATAAACATGTTTACAGCCTGGTACAAAAATGGTTTTGGTCTCTACAGGTAATATCCCTGTTCATGACAACTGTACAGGGGTGAATTTTTATAAAACGTTTGTAAAAGCGGAGCTGATTTGAGAGACAGACTGTCTGTGAATAGTGTCCTCGGCTTCTCAGCCAGATCAACCTCTAGTTCCTCCACAACTCCAGCCCCTCATTCAAATGTGGTCACTTCTACCTCCAAAAATTCCAAGATGCTTGGGGCCGAAATGCCGAACTCCAATACATGTTACACAGTCTATGGCAAAAAACAGAATATTTTGTGCATGTATTTACATAATTGCTTTCTTGTTGAGCGTTAGGTGAGAGGATTGAAACCACTCTCTTAGACAAGAGTGGTGTCAATCCTCTCATCTAATTTTCAATAAGAAAGCAAATATCTCTCGAACTGTCACACCACATAGCTTATACTGTGTGTACTGACAGGGACGAGTGCAGCTTGAAGCCAAATCATTTGCACTTGGTTTACACTGATGAAACTGACAGAGGAGAGAGGTGAGAATGAAATCAGTGTCTAAAGTTTTAACACATCCTTGTGTGTTACATCTTATAGCAGTGGACAGCTACCTCTGTAAACACACTCGGGGGGGGTGGGGTTGACCTTTGACCTACTAAACATTCTGACGTCCAGATCAAACAAATTCTTTGGGTATGAAGGCAACATCCACATTGCTTTATTAGTGTTGCCAAATGCTAATCATTAAGTTTCTCTGTCTTTGGTTCCCCTGCAGAGCATTTAATTAGACTCGTTTGATGACCTTATTGTATTAAAATGTTAAATGATGCACTTTGGCTAATTTAAATGGCTTCGTTGCCACATGGTAATAATAAGTGATAACAGAACAGCGGCTCCTCAGCAACATCACAGATTTGACAGATAAGACTGGTAAACATTTTCACACCATAAATTTTGTAAATACGTCCTGTATTTATCAAAGCATATGTAGGCCTGGACTTAAGGAAATGACTCAGAGCAAATAATTGCCACAAGCTCCACTTTGTTGGAGGTTCTGAAGATCTTCGCCACATATTGTGGCCTTGCTTCAGGAAATCCAAGTAAGTGATCTTGGTGTCAGAATTTTTTTTAATTATTTTTTTAAGAGTGAGAAGCTACTTCTTTCCCCAGTTTTCAGTTAGACCTTTTCTTATTGAATGATTGGTGCTGTCCAGGAAACACTTGTCTCCATATCGTAATGATAAAAATGTTGATTGAGCAATTAGTTCCTGCCCTCATGGCCCATTTAATGAACAGGAAATTCTATTTATCTAAGAATAAATGATTGCCTGTGGATCAGTGACTATGCTTTTCATTGACACAGGTGTCCACAGAGATTGCTTCACCATTAAAAGCTTTAACTATTTCATCATAGTCTGGTGCTGCTCAGTGTCAAGGGTCTGAGCAAATACTGCCGTTTGAGAGTAGGCATGCCCCAGACAGGCTTTAGCCCAAGGATAAATGGTAATGAGTATATTTTACACTTTATACCTCAGAATATTATATAATAATATATATACTTCAGAGATGGGAAAATCGAACAGACTGTAAGCCTACTGCATATTATATAACATATAACAGATGCTGTTTCAAGATCAGCTTTCTCTGAATACTGGAAGCAATCTATACATTCGTATCAGTGTGCAGCACAAGTTGAATATAAAAGAACAACCTGTATGAGTGTTGATTTAGTACGTTTTCTAAAGAGAATTTAGTGTCAAATTGGACCTCGGGATTTGGTGCTCAAGACAGGTCAAGACCAAAACTACGAGGATATCACTTAATTGCCTGTGCAAAGAAAGAGCGCTGAATAAAGACGGTTAAGTTGGTTTCAGCTCCTTAGTGTTTGCATTTGTTTGCTTATAGAAAACAAATTCCCATATGTAAGACTCACCTCTGCAATGACTTTTGATTATTTGATCAGGATTTCTTATGGTACTCTTATACATACACACATATATAAAGCATATGGCAATAAAAGAGGTGAGTGAAGAGGAAACTTAATTTTTCTGTAGGTGGTTTTTATGGGAATGTGGACCTTTCAGATCAATTCAAGGAGTGCCTTTGGTTTGCACAATCCACATTTTATCAGAAGTGTGTCATGCGATTTGGTGCGAGTTGCCGTGTGTTGGAGATATCGGCCAAAGAGATGTCTCCCCTTTTTAAAATGGAGTGGAACTGTAATACCATGCAGAAGGAAGCATGCATCTACTTATGGACGAGCGGCTTGTGCTTGTGAGAGTGCAAGATGTAGACATTAATGGCATCCTCCTCAGCTGAGCTGTAATGCTAGCTAGCTCAGTGGTGCTAGGTGAGCTAGCAGTAGATGCACGCTTCCTTCTGTGTGGTGATATGGTTTGCAGGTGTAGTTCAGTAGAAAGAAAATAGTTCCTACATGAAACCGCTCACAACAAGGTCTGTGGATTATCTTGAGTAACTGGATCATGATTTCTGGAAAGAGAGATTGCTGTTGAGTTTTTCAAATGTATTTTTATTTTCTTTTTTGGCACTTTAAGCACCACAAGCTGAGTGCCATCTAGTTCCATTATATTTAAGAGAAGGCAGACATTGCTACAGCCAATATCTCCAACACTCTGCAATTCACACATAAACAGCCTTGATGGATAAATATCACTACAGATAAGAGGAAACATGTATTTTTGATTTTGGGGTGAACTGTCCCTGTAAAAGTGTGATTATTTTTATTTTCACTTCATGTTTATGAGTCCTACTCATCTCTGCGATCATCTAATGTTTTACAATGTCTGAATGTCTACAGTGTTTCCACCACTGAGGCATGTGCTGTCCTGTTTTTAATCACCATCCCCTGCAGCAGCTAAAGGGTTTCAAACCTGCGCTGTCCCGTTTCCAAACTCCTGACAGACAAGAATACCAACCTGTAATATACAGATAAAATCATAAAATGAGCACAGAAAACCACTGTTACAGACTCCTTTGATTTGGACTTCACAAAGATCCTCAGCAGACATGTCTAGATGATGAAGATAATAGGTTTGTTTTGGATATCATAAATTGCAGGAGCGTCACCAATTGTGGTCAATTTGTGGTTTTAAATAAGTGCATTCTATTTAAATTACATTAATAAGAACTTCTGGTAATCAATCAAACATACAGGTATTAACATGATTGGGTCACAGTCATCTCTTGGACTTGAGCCCTCTGTGCTGCGTTCACTGCTTACAGAACATGCTACAGCATGCAGGTTTATTTTTAAACTGGACAATGACCATTGCAAGCAGGATGTAGACTGTTGGAGAAATTCTCAGTGTAACCCGTTTCTGATTCAGCCACCAATACTGCAAATGAACACCGTGAGGCCAAATAACTTGGAAAATTTTGCCATTTCTAACGGTGTTAAATGGTGGAACCTCTATCAAGGATATGACTGCTGTTACTTTGTGAGAAAATTCCCAAAATTACTGTATCCAAAACACACATATAATTTTTATGTTTTAAATTCACCTGTTCTTGCTCTCATTACTGTTTACAATGTACCAATGGCCACCACAATAAACCAAAACACAACACTGATTTTTTTGTTTTACTAAAAGAATTTATAGCTTCACAAGAAAAAGCACGTAAGCAAAAGAAACTGAAGTGAAATGCAATAATAAAAATTCATGACAAAAAGCAATACAAAACACTTCTAATGGCATCTAATCAGAACAGAGATGTGGATTTGTGGTGTCTTTTGATATCTGAGGAATGAAATACGTTAATTATATGAAAAAACTCAAACACCAATCCTCTATTGGGTAATGCTGTAAATGTTTGTCCACTGGAAAAAAGACATCAGTGTTCATCTGCTGGTGGAACAAGCCACAGCCTCCAGATCCACAGAGCAACATTATCCTCCATGTATAGACGACTGCATAGGACCATTATTTCAGTTCATTACATTGTCCCAACTGTTTTTAGTTTGAATCCTCAATCCTCCGGAAAACTGCAAGAAAGTTCTTCCCTCCGTTTCTCTGCACTTTCTTTCCTTCCTCTGTACAGGTACCCAAACGACTTATGATGATGTCATCAACCTGCCAAAATAAGATGGAACACAATTACATTAAAGGATGCAGTGGCATATAGAGTCACCTAAACTTTTATTTATGACAGTTTATTCACAATTTGTGGGCGGGGCCATTGGGAGAAACACTACTGTGCATATTCAGTGGGCTGCATACCGCTGAAGTAAACTTGGAAACTTTTTTCAGTGTTTGCACCAAGCGAGCAATTCTCATTACACTGAATAGCCGCCATCTTGGGGTCTGGTATCCAGTTCTAATAATCATATCTATGAGTACAACGTGTTTAGTTTTAAGGGTGCTGGTAGGCAGGGTTTGTTACCCCTGTTTCCAGTCTAAGTTAACCAGCAGCTCCATAATAAGCATACAGTGGGAGTGGTATTGTTCTTCTCATCTAGTCAAGTCTGGCCCACACTTAAAGTTTTTTAAAATATTAAACAGATGATGAAAATGTGAGGGACCCCACACATAAAGGCATCTAATGATGAATTTAACAGTTTTGTTCCTACAGTGTGTGGAGAGCAACAATTTGGCCAAAACAGCACGACACACACTCACAGATTCCATTCATGAGTAACCAAGTCCAAACTCTCAAAAGCAGAAATCTCACAAATCTTGCGCGATCAAACGTGACTTTAGAATAAGCAAACATGGCGGACGATAGGCAGGAAGTACTAGCTGCTAGTTTTTGCACTACGGTTTACAGAAAATTCACAAATAAAAAAGACATAGACGTGGATGGAGTCATGGAGATGGTGTGAACATGGATTGTACAAGTCACAGCGTGAGTCAATTCTGAGTTGAATCCAATTCGATATTGCATTAAAACCCTCTGAGATCTGTGGGAGCCCTACAACAGGATATTAGATCGTAAATATTCAAAATGTAATATAACTTCCGAGCAGATCAGGGATGTAAAAAAACACCAACATATTTGAAGCTACAGGAATATCTGCAAAGATGATCATCAGAGCCTTCAAAAAATTGGGGCTTTGCTGACGACTGTTGGGAGGGTAGATTTGGGCCCTAAATAGTCTTGTTTCTTGTGAAGTGTGTACCCGATATAACTCTTGGCAACAAAGCAAATCAACACATTTCCCAGAATGTAAAACTTTTCCTTAAAAAGACTACTTGTGTCTTATGTAACACAACAAAAGTTGCTAATTTAGGTCATTTATCTGGTGTTAACAATGGGGCTAACCATTTTGGAATAAAGCATAAACATTCCCAAGTCCGACATATGTGAGGTTTTTCTGCTTTTCCATTTTCTGATATTGTGTGAATGAAACATTATCTCAGCTAATCAGCTGATGGCTGTACCTTTGCTTCATATTTAGTATACAGGCATCAGAGAAATATTAATTTTCTTATCTAAGAAAGTGTCAAAATTGTTAATACCACATTCTCAGAGACTTTCAGATTTTTCATGTTTGATTTCTTTCCCTTCAATAAGCAGTTGACAGGCAAACACAGGGATGAAAAGCTCCACATTAACATACCAGTTCTTCATCAGAGACACGTGTAAACAGTGGATGTTCACTGAAGTGCTTCACCATCCAGACATGCACTTCCTCCACATCTGTGATGGTATACACCAAACCCTGACATACCCAGACAAACACAGGGAGATTATTAACACAGCTCTGGGAAAAACACGTCAACCAAGCTTCACTGGGGGCTAAACATGCATTCATTCATTGCTCACAAAATAAACCTATGGCATTTATCAAAACATTAATTACACAACTGAATACTTCTCTTCTAATCTTTCCTTTGAAACCGACATTTCAGCATCGCAGTTAAGTGGTTTCATCACCTCTGGAGAGCAATGGTCCTCGGAAAAAAACGATAAAAATAACCTACAGACAACACAGAGGTTAATCACCTGTGTCACTGTAGTTTACTTTGGAGGCTGGACAGATAACATTACTAGAACAAGGATTTCTTAGAATACTCCGCAATGGCACAGATTTCCACACGACTGCACATCGACATTTGGGGTTTTTCCAGAGAGGGCGGGATGAGGATAACAGACGTGCACAGATCCACGTTATTCACACCTGTGTACTGTGTCAAGACAGGTGTGGTCTGCTTCAAAAGATATTCACTGATAAACAACAGACTTAACTTTTCATGGAGGTTAATTTTGGTGCTAAACTGCATCTATAAATGTGGCTGTCATGATTTTCTTGACAGCCCCCTCTCCCACCAGCGCTGTTATGGCTGCGTGCCAAAGCTGAAGGCCCTTGCAGAGCTTACACAAACACTCACACACACACACACACACACACACGCACACACACACACAAATGCATCAGTGCACACATGCGGACACACACACACACACAAGGAAAAACGATAAAGCCAAATTTAGACACAAGCTGTCCATTGTTCCCAACCACCCCCATCAGCGCCCGTGTCTTATTTGAGTGTCCCACTGTTGCTCTGACAGCTCTGACAGGAAAGAGGGTGCGTGCAGACGTCAACCAGCTGCAGGCCACACCGGTTGCTGAATTTTATTTCAGTGAACTCATGGATTTCTGCACACTGCAATCAACTGATAAAATGATGAGGAATGGAAATTTGTTGTTGAACTATTAGTTGGTTTTCAGTTCTATTAAGTCTGTGAATGAAATCTTTTTCCCCTTCATTGTGTTAGCAAAAGTCTTTGTTGCAGATATTCAAACCTTTATTAATAATAACCTAAACTATGGTCTTCACACATATGGCTGGTTATACTTTATGTATAAAGCCCAAAACCAACAATAAATTGGCACGACAACAAGTATCATCTGTGCCATAGAGCCCCAAATAAATAAAAACACATCAATGAGCTCTTGCCGTAACACCGGTTGACATGCAGTGTTAATTTTGACAAGTATTTTAAATTTAGTTAAATTGTTGGTTTAAAGTCACATTTTAGACTTTTTTTTTGTTTTGTTTTGTTGAGTCAGTGGAACTCCGTTTTTATATTAGTCATAATTTTCTTAGACAGTTTCATGACACTGTATTTGTTGAAGGATATTTCTCCTGACTAAACACATATCTTGAACTATGTGTTTAGTCATCTAGGCAGAGAGCGTGCTCCTGACTCACTGTACCTCTGTAATATCATGTAAAATGAATGCCCAAAGGTATGTATATCACTACTACTTTATATTACTGATATTATTGAGGTCTTCTGCTAAATTCAGCATCATGTTGCACTCAGTAGAACTCTGACTCAATAAAGCAGCGGTTATAAAAATGTGTGAACTGTGTTGTTAAGGCAGACGAGTGGCGCATTATCTGGGAAATGTCATGTTTATTCACTTTACATGGAGCTAAAATTAATACTGAATTATGGTAAATGTTCGGTGAACGTGTAAGTGTCTGTTTATGAAATTCATAAATCATCTAGGAGAAGTAACATTACATGTTTACCGTTAGCTAGCTTGGCTTAGTTAAATGTAACAACATGCTAACGGAGCAAGGCTAACTGCTACTGCGATTAGTTAAAAAGAAAAACAACCAATGCTTTGTGATGATTTAACTCAGGTTGTCAAGAGCCAACTATTTAGTCCCATCTTTATTCTTCACCCCATAATGATTATAATGATAATTTGCTGTAATTTTTGTTGTCTTTTTTTTCATTTACGTTACAATTTAGTCATAAAATAAAAGGCTGCTACCACAAAATTTCTGTCAAAATTAACACTGGTGACATATTCCTTTGTTACCATGAACATGGGCACTGTAGTTTAAGTGAGTTGATCCTACATGCACCGTTCGGCTGTCGTAAATACGAGAACACAAAATGTATATTAGTTCGCTGCTGAAAATAGTCCCCAACAAATGCACTATTTACTACTGTTTGAGTAATGCCTTCTGAAAACTTCAGTGCCCAGTTGTTTTTAGGAAATCATTTAACCATTTAAAGTGGCACTACAGGAGTGCCTTAGTACCCAAGATGTTACAGTGCATTACATTAACACAACATGCAGATTCAATGCCAGCCTTCGGACCTTTGTTGCATGTCATACCCCTCTCTCTCCCCCTGTTTCAAGTCTACTCTATCATCTGTCAAATGAGGGTGAAAAAAGACACTGCATTCTGGTAACCTGTTTTTAATCACATCCATCTTCAGTGGGAGTGAATGGTGGACTTGAATTGATCATTTAAATGGCATGTTTCAACTCAGTTTTGGGATTAATTGTGTTGTAATTATGTTGTCTTTTGTGCATCTTCAATTTTAAAACTATTCTGAGCATAAACACTTAATTGCAAACACCTGATTAAACATTCAACATAAAAACAACATGAAACATTTCAGAAATGTAATTTCTCAGAGCTCGTAATGAAATTTCTTGGTTTGTCCAACCAAGTCTAAAACCCAAAGTTATTACGTTTACAGTGTTCTATCCAATGTGAGAAGCACCAGTGAATGTTGTAGATGTAATCTGTACTTGATAAATGACTTAAACAATTATCAAAACAGTTGCAGCACTAGCTGAAACAAGTCTTATTTATGTACATACCCCAACTCTCAGCGTGTAGGCGTACTCTGCCAACAACGTGGGACTAATAATCCTCCACTTGTGCTTGGTCTTCTTAAAGTGAGGGTCAGGGAAAAGAAAGAACATCTTACTGAGCTGAAAGACACAGAAAAGGGTCGTAAACAGTACTGTAAGCACAGAACAAAAGAAAATAAACACTTCTTTTAAACTCTGTCATTCCCACACGAGATCGAAATAAAACTTTATATTTTTACCACAGTATGGTCCTGAAATTTACAATTGTCATCACTTACATGTGCCCCCTGTCATATTGTGTGGTTGGTTTTTAAACACCGCTGATTGCAAAACTGGAATTTCCCTTCTTGAATTTTTTCCCCCATAAAGTTCCCCATCTCTCTGTTTTTGACAAGTGAAGGCTCCATTGATATCACTCTGGCTGATACATTAAAAACCATTCCAGTAACTTTTTATTAGTTAAAATAAATAATGTCAGGTATAGACAGAAAGATGTGGGGATAATCACCAGGGACTGCTGCAGCCTCAGGGGCCGCTTCAGTGCTGATGGAAGGTGGAAAAACCTTAACTCATTTTTGGTTACAAAACATAGTAACAAGAAGGAAAAAAAGCATTTCAGGTCTTTGGAATATGCTGTTTCAACACTTGAAACACATCATGCATGTGAGAAGGACTGGGACTAGATTTTGAGCACAAGTCTGGGTGGTCGTCTTTTATTTCTCTGAAAGCAATGTTCAAATCACGAGGAAGGAACACAGTTGATGCTAAAGCGAGTTGCAGCTAGAAACATGTTCATCTCTTGTAAATTAACGTGAGTCAAGAGATGCTATTTATGAATGAGATGAAGGGAGTGCAACTGTAAGCAAAATAAAGCGCCTTAATGCAAAGTCAAGACAGACTTCTCTTCCAAAACCAGGCCGAATTCCTCTGAAACATTTCCAATCTCAACTTGGCCTGGACTCAGACTGTAGAAATAACAGTCATATTATATTAAATTACCTGAAATAGCATATTAAAATAATTTAAAAAATGAAATCAATGTTTTTACATGTAAAAACATACAGTATCTGTACTCCAGAAATGTGTCACTGCAATTATTTCCCTGTGTTCATTTCTGAGTTTATACTCCCTGGAGTCATTTGAGGTGAGGTTTTTTATCCAGGGTACCTAAATTAACCCTGGTACACTAAGCCCCACTGTATAATCTAATGCGAGTTTCAACAAGTCATAGATTACTGCAGCTAATTGGAACGGATAAATGGCGTCTTGCACTGCTCTATACTCAGCTGATGCGATGCCTTGCGTGTCAGTCAATGACCCCATTGTTGTGAAATCCTGGATTTAATGAGCAATCCGTATAAATTAATTCAGTCCATATGTTGAACATGAGGAAAGTAATTATTTGTGGTCAGAAACATGCGTATTCTTATTACTTTGGCAGCGCCGGAACAGACTGTCAGCTTTAATTTAAGGTTATTGCAGGCCACGTCCCTGTTATAGAACCGCAGGCCTTTTGTGTACGAGCTCCAACTCACTTCCAATGAACATCATATGTGTTATTTCTACATATAGTTAGCACATAAAGCATCGGTCCATCAAGTTTACAATAAAAGTTTCTCAGTTGTATCTAGCCATGCAGATATACTTTACAGAGATGTCCCCTTTTTACAATGTACCAAGCTCAAATATTCTGTAACAATACCACTTGTAATTTCCACAACTGTCATTCCTTGTACATAAACTAGTCGACCTATCAACTTGTTGCTGCTTTATGCACTGAGTTCTAACATTCAGGAGGAAAGAGTATGATTTTACAAGAGCAACAAATTTAAAACTTCCTGCTTCAAGATCACACATTACTTTCTTCCCCAGAGGTCAGCCTCAGCACCCGTCATATTTGTTAGTGGTAACACAGAGAAGGTGTGCAGATGGGCAAGTGGTGCTACAACTGGGAATGGAAATCATGTTGCATTCTGGGGCTGCGCTGCCATTTTTGGAGGATATGCATCCGTAACTGTGGTAGCTTTCAGTATTTGTCACCAGTCATTTGGGTTGGGTACCAAAACCTGGTGCCAATATGGCTCTGGTGCCTACTGCACCAAATTATGACTCGCATTTCAGTGCCTCATTTCAGTGCCAGATTGTGTATGTGGCTAGTGTGCAGCCAAGAGAGATCAAAAGAGAGTGTGTGTGTGTGTTGGTGACGGTGACAGTGAGGCTGCAGAGAGTATGAAGTTAAACACAGCAGTGCAGTGCGTGAACAGTTTAGGCTGTTTGTCACTGAATAACTGCTACAACACCTCAAGACCCAAACCAAGCTCCTGAGTTTTACCTAGCATCTGCTGATTAAAGTGAAGGAGGTTGGCCCTGGATTTAGTGAAGTTAGCCTCACACTGGAAACTCACCAATCCTCCTTAAGGTGGACTGTTAAGGAGGACCAGCTATTGTGATTGTAGTGACAATATCAGCCGATTCTAAAAAGATAATGGATATATGTCTGGCTGCTGAGTCTCTCCTGAGTTAGTGAGACAATTACTGATCCAAACTCAAAAGTTATTATGCTGTTATTAGTACTTCATGTTATTTATTATTAGATTATTGTAGTTGGGTTGTATTGATTATGCAAGTGTGTTATGTGAATTTGTTGATAGTGTTTTGTATGAATTCACTGAACGGCTTATGTATTCAATTTCAAGTTCAAATATGTCTCTGCAATAAAAAAGCAGTTTTTTCATGTTGTTGACCATCGTTTTGTGCTTTATTTTGAAAAAAGTATTGGTTCAGGCATCGTTTAGGCACCTGTACTGTTTTAACAGTATCGTTTTGGCACCAGTATTGGCAAAAACCCAAATGATATCCAACTCTACCAGTCATGTCATCTGCCCATCGTTCATTATCATAAATGTATAAGCAAAAGACAAAAGCGCATATAGAAAGAAGCTCCTGACAGAGGCAAAGGAGCAAAATTTAACAAAATTAAAGTTGGTTAATGATATTAATCCTTACGAGCTTGACAGCTCCCCATCAGTTAACGTTATGGTCACTGACTATCTGGTTTATGGCATGTGAGCCTTCACCCGTCAGCAATAATGAGACTTTAAAGGGGAATTATGCCATTTTCAAAATTCATACATGTTATTCCTCTGATCTAAGGCTGTCCAAAGAAAATTAGTTAACATGGACAACTCTCTCTCAAATCCAAAAACTAGAGTGTTAAAACTCAAATTTGTGATGTCATAGGGTATTAAGTCTGGAGCTGTTTCGTAGACAATGAATAGTAGAAGATGTTATAGATGACACTGAGAGCACCCAGGGGAGTGTTCTCAGTATACGAGTAAATTTTCTGTTTCACAACTGAGATCACTTCAATAAAATAAAGCTCATTTGGGTATAAAAACAGTCCACAGTCGCACATTCATTGTCTTGTTTGAGATTTACTTCTCTGGTTTCTGGCTTTACGAGAGAGTAGCTCATGTTCACAAATATTGATTGAACTTTCCTAGACCATAGAAATAATATATTTAAATTCTTAATTTAGGTGGTGTTTCCCTTTTGATGTTTGGAGGCCCATGTCCAATTTATAAATGGGTACAGTACCCTCAGATCTACAAGCCAAAAGCCAACTACACAACTACCCAGGCAAAGACAAGCTAATGTCATGCTAACTGAGTGTTCATGAACAGTAACCTACCAGTATCTAGCTAAATGAAACACAGAACATTAGCCTATCTTTCTGTCCAGCCTTTTACTACATATACACTACAATCAGTTTTTTGAATCTTATTTACCGAGCAGTGCTTTGTGTTTTTTCAGCAAATATTTTTGACATATAAGGTAAACAGCCAGTGGGTGGCACTCTTACTCTTATCCTTCAAAAATGGCCGACTTGCCGCTGATTAAAGTGCGTTCCCATTTCTTAAAGTGGCTGATAAGAGTCCAGTACTACTGTGCTGCAGCCCATCACCTTTATGTTATAATGTCCTGCCTTTTAACCGGTTACACTCAGCAGGTAACATTTAGTTTAAGTTGTTGCTTATAGAGTCGTGGTTGGGTCATAAACTCTGAACCAAAAAAATCTTGCACACCAAAATTCAATCCATAAATTTAACATCATGAAGGTTTGAGGACTGAAACATTGTGAATAAAGTGAACACAAGTGATCGACAGTGTGCAGGACTTTTTGGCTCAGCTTGGGTTTTGGCACAACTAAGGATGCCGATGCACAGATTTTTTTTTTTTTTTTTTTTTTTTTTTTTAATTTGAAGCTTCTATTGAAGTTTTCGAATGACGCTTCGCATGGCTTGTCATCATATTATAAGACGTCGTCACCCTAATAATGAAATAAAATTAACAAACAGAATCCTTGGATCATACACGTTTGTCTTTGTGTTGTTCTTTTTTTTTTTTTAAATCAACTTTCTTTAATGAATAAAGGTAATTTATGGGGCTGTTAGACTGGCAAGTTAACACAGGTGCCTGCCTCCCTTTGTGTGGGTTTAAACTGAATGAATAGACGTACAAAAAAAAAGAAGCCTAGAATTCGAACGTCATCGTTCTGAAAGAAGCTTTGAGTTATTCGGTACAGCCGTAGGCACGACTATTAACACCAAAAGAACTCAGAACATGAATAAACACACTAATAAATGCATAGAATCTAAGAGTTTAAGTCATTTCCAGTCAACGGTCTTCAATTTTAAGGTCACACTTCAGGTGTTAGGTTTGATTTTAATCTAAGGTGATCATACAAACTATCCATCATTTACACTGTGGTCAGTTTCCTTGTAGTTTTATTTATAAACTCAGTTACATAGCTGTAACATCAAATCTAGACTGTGTGCTGGTCTGTATTAACGTTCACACCATGACCACTGAGACGTCTGTCTTTCTGATTGGCCGGAAGGTGCAGATTAACTTGTAGTAACCGGACTGTATGACCACATGACGCAGGTGTTCTAAATTAATGAGCCACTATTAAAGTGTAGGTAAAGACATCAACCATGAGGCTTAGCTTAAGAGCTGGGAGCCAGACGCTGGTAGTAAATTATGTTTCTTTACTTAATTGAGGAGATGCGGGTGGAATGGAGACTTTAAATGGTGCTGGGTGAAGGCCAGTTTGAGCTGGACAGCGCATGTGGTTAGCAGGCCAAAGAAAAAGGAGGGAAGCTGTTGGTTTAATGCAGCCGTCTGGTTGCAACAAATAACAAGTTTGTACAACAGCACAAATTGTTAAAATTAGTTTACAAAGCAATATATCCAATGAAAATGTCAAATGTGTCTAAAATCACCTTTTTTCTTTCAATATACAGGATAAAATATTAACCAAAACAACACTATGCACATTAAAAACAGAGCTGAGCGAAGTGAAAGGCACACTAAACTAAAACTGACTGTGAAAAGACTGACAGAGCAAGAACAGATGGTGTTTAATTTGATGCTAAAATGAGACTTTGTCATTTCAACACTAAAACTTGAAACAATTAAGCGCATAACTCACTGAGCTGACAGCTGCTTACGCAATAAAAGACGCTTTATTAAGAGACGTGTTTGTGGTTTTGCTTTCAGCGCAGACTTATGAATATCTCTGAAACCTCTCCTGAGGGGAGAACCTCACCAAACACACACCCCACACCTATAGTAGTCTCACACTCACCGATAATGTCTGATTAACACTGATTACATTGTGGCAGCAGTGGGAACATTTTGGATTACAATATAGAACAAAAAACACCAGTAACAACTTAGGAAAACCTCAAATAGACTTATGTCCCTGATTTTAATGCCACAGTGCATGCTGGGAGGGTTCCCAACACACCTCCTTCACAGTGTAATCACATGATCAGCTCTAAGCCAATCATATGAATGCTGATCATGGTTTTCACTCTCTACTCATTTTGCCTTTATTTCAAAATAAGAGCCCACTGTTACCAAGACAACTGAATCCAGGTCCAACAAATGAATCATCAAACAGCTTTAATGGATGAGAATAAACAGGATTATTTTAGCCTGATAACAGTGTGTTAACCTGAAGATCATAGCCCAGATCTGCCAGGTTTGTGACTCTTATTGTAATATTTTTTAATAAAATTGTAGGAATGTTTGTCAGCCAGAAAAACAATTCTGATTAAAATGTACAGTCACATAATCTTAACATTTTAAATTAATCTTGAATGAGTTCTAATGGTAATGCAAACATGAGGCTAGGAAAACAAATGATATTTTATTTTTTATGTTAGTTATTTAACTGAAACTATATTCCCACACAGCTGGGCTGAAAATAATGCTTCAGAGCGAGGTCATTTTAGGTAGGAAAGAGCAGTGACTTGCTTTATTATGAGGAGGAGGACAAACCTACAACCTCTCCGGGTCAAAACTTCCTCCTTCTTTCATGTCACACAGCAGCAGACACACAGGTGCAAACCTACCTGTCCTTTAAAGAAGAAGTTGGGGAGGTACTTCATCGCGTTGCTGCGGATGCAGGCGATGTTCTGGTATCCTCCTGGTTCTGATTCACGCAGAGACCGGATGCGATCCTGAACATAATCTGACACTTTCACCCGGATCTCCATCCCCAGCATGAGCTTGTCTGGGAAGAGTGGCGATAACTCCACTGGCACACAGACAGACGCACAGAGACATGAGAGAAGGGGACATGAGGTCAGAGCAAAACTATGACCTGTGAAAACTGTATGTAGTCAGATCGGCAACATAGCTACCTAAAAGACCCCCGTATCCACATCCAATGTCCGCAAACTCAACTTGAGGGGTCTCTTTGTCAGAGGGGCCGGCAGTGAAGAAGTGTGGATACAGCGTGGACCAGTCCATCTCCTCAGGACACACTGGACTGTGAGGACAGAGAGTTTTTTAATTGAGCCTTTTTTAGAGAGTAGAAACATGAAAGCAGCTGACAGTGTGTTCTGTGACTTATCCAGAGTAACAGAGACAGTGTTTTTGAAAACAGATTGTACTTACTACTTTTTAAATACAACTTTACACTGTTGTTAGCACCTACTGTACACTGTACTGAGGTGGAGACAGAATGTCTCAAATTCAAAGCTGTTAAAAACTAAACTTCCTGCATGGCAACCTGAGTCAGCAGCTACTTTACTTTCCTGTCAGCTTCACTGTATAAACACACAGTGAGGACTGACACTTATGACGTTTGCAGGTACTGACAGAGAGGTAACGTTACAGTGTGTTGCTCAGTAAACTCAGACACATGTTCATCACTCACTAATCAAACGTGTGGTACGCCATCGGGTTTGAATGGGCTCTCTGTCTGTAGTAACGCTTCTGCGGCATTGACGTCGCCATGTTGGAGGAAAATAAGGACGTTACTGCCGATAATATTCACTTTGTCAGCTAGTTATTAAATAAACACAGTTGACTCCAACAGTCACGCTTGTATCCCACCGGTGAGGAGTCGCGGCGGTTTGACGTCATCACTAGGCGTCTTTTCAGGGTTGCCAGGTTTGTCGTATTTACACACTCGGCGACAGTAGCTGACAGTGGGAATTTGAGTAGCTTGGCAAGTTAAAACTATACATGTGAACCACAAGCCCAAAGTATTACTTTTGTCCGCCATTTGAATTTTACTTAAGGTAAACAATCATCAAATGCACCATTTAAAATAGTATAAAAGTACCTAACTTATTGTCTGGGTACAAATAATTCTGTCCTTGCTCTGTTAGCATGTCTATTAAAATGTTAACACTGATAAAGAAAGGTCTGTATCAGGTGGTGCCTTTTAAAATCATTTGTTTTTATATTTTCAATATTATATATTCAATATTTGTGAAGCCTAATAGTAAAGACACCAAGAGATAAATTATTAAATATTTCAGAAGAAAAAAAAGGATTGCAGAAAAGTCTGGTAAATAAATCTAATTTTGAGTGAGGTTTATTTTCTTTTTTTCTGACTCTCTCCAGACCCCAGATTGGAAAGTGCTGTTGTAGGCAGTCAAGGTGGGGCAAATTTTAACTGCTAACCCTCATCCTACCAACAGTAGCCTACTTATATTTTTTGGCATATCTCAAAGGTGCTTTATTTTATCATTTTGCAATGTTCTATGAATCTACAAAGCAAACGTATAGATATTAAATATAACATACTTAAATATTAGTAGAAGAGACTGAAGTCGGTTGAGACATTTGTGTAAGAAATGAAGTAACTTTTCATTACTCTCAGACAACTTTAAAATGATTTGATCCCTGAACAGATACATGTGTCTGCTAACAATTTGTCATGTTCTTTAGAGCCCAGCCCAAACAAAAAAGGCACAGTTTTGTAAAATGTAAAAGGAGTGCATCGTCCCATAATTTTGCCTTGGTTGGTTGGGACACGTTGTTATAAAAAATATTATTCAAATTGGGAAAAAAATACAGTCTAAATTTGAACCCCCTTATACTTACAATGTCTGTTGTTTACACATTTCTTTGAGAAAAAGAAAACATTTGTGAAATTGTTTTATTTTAATAAATTTTGAAACAGGGAATTTGCCTGTCTTCATTTCAGTATTAGCTCAGTGTGGTTACCACAGGCTACATGTAGCCTAGGCTATATCTTTATGTAGACCATTGAGTTTGTTTAGTTTTGCAAAATAAATAAATAAATAAAATAACAAATCAATAACAACAACTGAGATGTTAAAAAATGTTAAATAGTTGAACTCTGTGCATTCAAAATATGCCACAGTAGGTCTTATTTAAGGCTAAGGAAAAAGCCTTTTTGTTGTTTTTTATTGATTTGTAACAAGGTAGAAACTACTAGACATAGTTGCTTTCTAATTTGCTAAAAAGGCACCGTCCCAACTGACTCCACTCTTTACAAAGCCTACTTTTGGTTGAACAGCCACAATATTATTTTGAACTGATGCAGAGTTATGTGTTGTTATTTTTAGTATCTGTTATCATTTACAATTAGCATTATGAGAGATATATTTAACATTTAAGTTGGTCATCCACACTGCTTTTGTTGTACTGAGGCTTCTTGTCTGTGAACCCCATGAGAACAAAGATGTGTGAGTTATTGATAAAATAAAATGTTTCCAATAGAAACTGTAGCCCATCCTCACTAATAGTACAGAGTTCAGGGAATATAGCAAAAATAAAAATAAATAAAAATAAGCAAAAGGCTCTTTACCTCCTGAAGCCACTCTATCTGCTCTTGTCCTGAAAATGTCAGACATTTTTCCAATGGATCATTTTCAACAGCAGACTTTCAGTGTCCCGGTGATAATTTTCACAGTGTTGTCTATCAAATGGAAATGCTGCAGTTCCCTCTGGGTGTCTTCTGAGTCAACTCTAATATTCTTCTCTCTTCACTCTGTCAGGAAGGTGGTGACACATTATATTTCCCTCCTGCTGCAAGGCTTCACAAGAGACTTGTTCATGTCCGCAGATGCACAGAGGACTGTCTGCTGTAAACTGAGCTCTATCTCTTTGTCTCTTTGTGTCCTCAGTTATTAGATTATTACAATTTTGAGATGTGAGTGGATTTTCAGTCAGGCTTTCCCCAGATTTTTAAAATTCTTTCTTTATTTGATAGTCGACAGTGAAGAGACATAGAGAGGATATTTAAATCCAGGGTGTGTGTTATTTGATTTCACCTACTATCTGAGATTTAAGTAATCCCACAAGGAAAATCCAATCCGCATATATCAAGAGTGTCATTTGTTTTTGAGCCACATTCGCTGCATCTTGTTGCCTAAAAATGAGACAAAACAAAACACACAAGTCCTCCTTTGAGAGCAACAAAGTCTTTATTACAAAACCTGAATTGTACTTTAAGGGTATACTTTAATCAATTGTGTCGTGTCTCAAGTTTTATTGGGCTTTTTAACGTCGGATCCATGGATGTTGCTTCAAGTGAAAAATCTATCAGATCATGGCGGACCCTCATGAATACGATAAATCAATTGGGGGGTCGGGCCATTGTTATAGTGGTCACAGGAGCACAATCATTTTCACCATCAAACTCTCTATTAGAGTAAAATCCAAATCAAACTTAATGACATTTATTTTTTCTTTAGAAAGCAAAACAAAAATATTTCAATGACACTTAATAACATTGGTCATGGTGGTAAAAAATGGTTATCAGCTTTAAGAATCAAAATGATTTTTTCGTATGTCTTGTTTCCCCGGTCTTACTCTTTCAAGATAAAACCACAACATTCTCCCTTTGCTCAAATCTCAGAAATTCTTCTTGTGTCCACTTTGAGCTCAGGGAGATTCTGTGAGTGTAGTGTGAGACTGGAAGTTAACGGCAGTGTTTATATGGCAGATTAGGATCTTTAGATTCAATCCCAATCAACACTTTGACCTCCTCCTTAAACATCAGAGCACTTTTGTCTGTTTAACCCAGCCTCATACTGTTGTCACCCTCATGACAACCTCATGGTTGGCTCTGCGCAGGCTGTTGGGTCTTAACTGGCTGAGGATGTGCAAAATGGTATAGCCACAGTGGTGGTTGAGAATAGTCCTGACATGTCGACTTGCCCTCCGTCCGCTGTCCGAGTTCCTCTCACCTCGACCTTTACTGTTGGAACTGATGGGGTCACCTAAGTCCTTCGCTTTCTCATAGTTCAGTACTTTCCACTGCTGGTTCACCGCCTGCCAGCGCTTAAAGATCCGGTAAACAGACGATCCTTCATGGATTATAAGGCCTGGGCATAAAGGACAAAGGGTCGGGGAGGTCAGGGGCAGGAGCAGGGTTACATATAGACAAACAGTTGTTTGTTCAATGAGAATCGGGAAGCATGAAAAGGTACAGAAGGTGCAGAGCGAATAAGAACTATACATTCTCAACAATAAAAAGATCTATATACTGGACTTGTTTGTGGGTATTTTTGTGGGTATAAATCCCCTCATAAGAAAAAAAAGAGGGAGAGACAGAACACAATATACTCATGCAACACAAACTTAGAATAAATAAATGTGCACATGCCTTCAACAAATTACTGTATGTATGGGTAAACTACCTCCATTGTGCTGTGCAGTCAGACACTGAGTTATACATACAAAAGTAAGAGATCATGTTAACACCTCATCAACAATTGGATATAGTGCCATGGGATTTTGTACGGACATAGTTTCCAGAGGATGAATCCTGCACACCTCACTGATCCACTGACTGTTCTTTTATAATAGTAGTAGTAGACTGGGGGCTCCTCTGCCAGAACATTTTAAGCGTCAAACACTTAATTTCCAACATTATGGTAAATGTTTATGCACCACATTTTTCTGGATTTATTCCTGGTGTAAATTTATTCAATTTTGTCAAAACAAAAGTCCTCTGCTACTTTCATGTTTTTATGGGGAGGGGACAAATGTACATATTTTAAATTTTGAAGGTGGGGGGAATCTACACCTATGATCAGAACAGTGACATTTGGGGCTTTTAAGTAAAATGCCTTGGCAGCTATTATACAGATTTTCCTGAAATAAAGATTTTGATTTTGCTCTTATAAAAGTATTCACGATTCTCAGGATGAAGCCTGTAGCTATAGTGATCTCCTGACCTTTTCTCTGGCGCTGCCAAAACGTACAAATTTGGGTCCCCCTCCAGATGAATTGTTACAATTTTGGTGATACACTGGCCTTTTGTGCAGCGCCATCATCAGGACAAAACCTCCCTTTCTGAGATACTTTATTTTATAACCACATACCTTCAAAACTAATGGCACTCCCAGCAGCCTCAGCTGTACTTTGTGTTAAGTGCTAATTACTGCAGCAAATGTTAGCATGCTAACACGCATGAACATGTTAAACATCCAGCTTTACCTGCTTAACGTCAGAATGTTAACACTGTCATTGTGAGCATGTTAGTATGCTGAAATTAGCATTTAGCCCAAAGCAGTAACTGTGCCCAAGTACAGCCTCACAGAGCTACCAGAATGGCTGCAGACTCTTAGTCGTGCTAATAAGGTGAGTGAAAGACGTGTTAATTGAAAGGCAAATTGCCTACACTTTATGTACAGGTCTCTGATTTTCTAATGGTTTCCTAATTAACTATGTAATTTGGCACTAATTACAGGAAAACAGCATTTCCCTTAAAAGAACATCGCTATAGAAACCTGTTTAAATGTTCATTTATTATTCATTTATTATTGGAAATGTTTAATTGTATACTTGCCTGCAGACAAACTGCCCATTTTTTCATGCTGAGCTGACCCGTTGAGCACTGACTAAAACACTCTCTCGAAAGCAATTAAATGGAATTAATCAAGTGAAGTATAGCATAAGTGCATCGTTTCTATATTCCTGGGAAATATTACCAAGTTACATAGCTCTTTCTGGGGAATTATGTAGAAATAGTGGATGTAAAAAATAAAGTGTTACCACCCAAATCTGCGAAATCTGTCAAAATTACTTGTAAAAACTTATATCAATATTCACAACAATCATCTGTGGAACAACACGGCAGCCTCAGTGTCTGTGTCTTACCTATACAAACTATGTCCATGAAGCCGTACATGCCATAACATATCTGGAAGAGAAGGTCCTGCCGCTGCCATTTGGCTGAAGGGCTGAGAGAGGACCACACCAACCAGGAGATACTGGCGATGAGGAACAAAGAGCCCAAGATAATAGCTGCAATCTGCACCTTCTCGATCACAGTCAGAGAGATGGCCTGCCACTAGAAGAGACAGAGGGAGACACAACAGTAGACTGAAGCCTTATGATTATGTGAGATACTGAAATGGTGCAGGGTTTGTCTGTTAAGTGTTACTAAACATCCAGTCCTCTGTGTGGCATTTTTTTTGACAGTGTATGTTTGAGGAGCACTTCACCCACCCACAAAAAGATCATTTGTATATCAGCTACTCTCCTCATGTTATGCTGAATCAGCCTGCTGTTACTCCCTGGGAATCAAAAAACACTGCTTGGTACGTGACCCTTGGTGTTAGATTGTATCTTTATTAAAACACTCAGAGGTATGTGTGTAGTATAAAGAGTGCAAAAGTCCATTTAGGGCAGTCTGAAGAGGAGGCGGAGGGATCCAACACGCACAGGACTTTGACCCTTTTAGTCAATTGAGTTGACTAATGTGACTAACGTCCACCACAATCTTTTCCTAACCCTAACCAAGTACTTTTGTTGATCCCCTGTATCAAAACACAACACAAAGTGTTGCCCTAGGTGTCATTATATTGCTGACACTTCCCAAGCAACAAAATATGACGGTTGGTTGAATTTGTGGAAAAAAGGTTTTTACTGAGCATATGAGTGGATAAATAAGATTTGGATTACACTGCAAGAGTTTGTATACGGGTGTCTCGGTATAGTTTTGCTGCTGTATGTGGCCCCCTTTTACTTCAGTTCATCACGAATGTTCTTAGTTTTTGGATTCTTCGTTCAATGTGGAGATAACACTGGGTGAGTGACTGATATACAAGTGATCATTCTGTGGGTGAAGTACTCCTTAAAGACTTCAGTGAGACAAATGTTTGATTGCCTCAATTCACTCTGGGTCTCTGAGTGTAAAGTTCTACACCTTCAAAGTGATGTAGCTACAGTGCTGTCATTCAGTAATGATGTTCAGTCACTGCAGGGCTTCTGGAAATCCCAGTCTCACCGAGCCTCTGCTGCTCAGGCTTTAACACTGATAATAAAGACCTATGTTCAAGTACGTTTGAGAATGAAACCATTTCACTAATACTATATCACTCCAATTCTCCAAAAACTATTATATACACAGTGTTCATTCAGAGATGCCAGGATTGTCTAGCAAGACAAGTATTTAATTTGATAATATCTCTGTTCCAGCATTCAGAGGCTGACAACATTTGGTGATACTGTCTGTTCGTCTACTGTCTGTGTGCCACACACTTTGGTTAAAATCATCTGCCAGCGCTTTGAAATGTGCAGCGTCTCATTAATTTTGTCTTGGCATCACCCTATTAGACCTCATCACTTCCTACTCCTCCATTAAAAACAGTATAAATAGCTCTGTTAAAATTGAGATATTTGCTTTTTGTCTGCCAACAGCAATGTGCTTCCTGTTAGGAATCAGTGCACTGGACAGAATCAGTCCCAAATGTCTCTGTGGTGGTGATGTAAACACTGCATGGCCTTTAACATATGCCATTACATTATCCTTATGATACATAGATAGATAGATAGATAGATAGCCAACTTTGCCCCACAGGCCCCACTCTGGGCAGCCCTGGCATAAAGGATAATGTGCTACTGCATCACCTGTTTGAAAACTGAGGGGCTTATGTAACAAATTTTTAGTGAATAGAGGGGGACAATATCGTCGCCCAGATGGCAGCAGATTAAATGATCGTCACCCACAATGTTGCTTGACTTCTTCATTGTTCTGTCTCTGTAGATGCACTCTATACTTGGTGAAGTAATCTCAAACAGTTTCCTGGCCATTGTCACACTTCTTCAAACAGTCTTTTACTGTGTCTCAGTAGCATTGTCATACCAGTGAATGATGCAGAGGGAGAAAATGCTTTCAATAAAAGCACAGTAAAACATTTCAGGGACATTAAAAGATAGCGCTTTCTTCATAAAGTACATTCTTTGTTGAGTCTTAGTGCTTATGTGTTCGCACCACTGATCTCATTTGAGCTTATGGTCCAGCACAACGCCAAGGATCAATATCCGGTAATGTGATTACTGTGCTTTTCTGCCAATCACCCTCTGAAATCTGGCATCAAGTTTGTGCATGATGACTCTCTGTCACACAGACTAATGTTTCTGTCTTTATCCATGTAGCTCCTTTAAATGTTAATACCTCAGTATGAGAATGTCTCGACATTAAAGGTGAAGACTGAGAGAGGGCGACTGTACCTGCAGAGGGTTTTTGGTGCTGATGGCCAGGACCTGGTACTTGAAGTAGCAGATCTCACAGCTCCAGGAGCCTCTCTCACTGATCCAGCGGATAAGGCAGGACTGGTGAGTACAGCGCACAGAGCCAGAACAGCGACAAGGGCTCAACAACTCCCCCTGCAGGACACAAGAAGCAGCTGCATGAGACACAGAGCACTCAGCAGAGGCCGCTGGATGTTGATTGAATCTGCCTGTTACAAGATTTGATTTGGTGAGGATGACAGTAAAAATAAAGATCTTTATCATGAATAGAACAACTTGCCTCCCCAGCCCTGACAATGTTACTGTCACATTTTATCTAATGAAGGTGTGGTGTTGTTTGAGGGTATAGTGTTTAGGTGCTGTTCCTGTCATGAAGCTGGCAGAAGGATTAAAAAACAGACAGATAACAGCTTGGAGCAAGCAGCAACAGATATAATCAATTTGAAACTATGCTGTGTGTACTGTAATAGAATAATATGTTTAGAAAAGTTGGAATATAGAAAATGTTTTCATGGTGCACAACATTATGGCAAATACTGGGTAAATAAAAAATTGGGTCAAATTTGGTTTAGATGAGCCTGAAGGTTAGTACTGGGACTGATGACAGATTGAGACAAATTGTGAGGGATGAATGTTTTTATCTTGCAGTTTGTAATTTCTCCTAGTCTATTCTATTGAATTTGTTTGATTTATTGACAGTCAATGTGCAGTTCTGTCTCCAGTGTTGATTAGTTATACATTTCAAAGTGATATTAAATAATGATGATATATACTGAGTTAACAATATTTCACAATGTTTTTAAAATCATACATTACCCAAAAATCATACATACACTTCCCCCCTTACCTGTAGTGCTGTATCAGCCTACATTGTTTTGGTGTGAGTTGTTGAGTGTTGGAGATATCAGCTGTAGAAATGTCTGCTGTCTCTCAACTATAATGAACTAGATGGCACTCGGTTTGTGGTCCTCAAAGCACCAAAAATATTCATATTTGAAAAACTCAATGGCAATGTCTCTTTCCAGAAATCATGACCCGGTTAGTAGGAACTATTTTTTTCTCTACCAATCTACACCCACCAACCGTTTCACTGCACAGAGGGAAATGTGTGTGGTGGTATGATTGGTGGGTGTAGTTCAGGAGAATGAAAATAGTTGCTACATGAAACTGCTCACTACAAGGTCTGTGGATTATCTTGAGTAACTGGGTCATAATTTCTGGAAAGAGACATTGCTGTTGAGTTTTTTTTTAAGTGATAAATTAGTATTAGATTTAGGACAATTAGATATTAGTCTACTTGCCAGCATTGTTAAGCCACAAATGTTAAATACCCCAGAGTTCTATGTTAGATATTTACAGTATGGGTCCCCAGCATTTAGACACTGCCGGATGCTATCTAACAAATGATGGACAATTAGCATAATTAACACAATACTCGGATGGTTTTGGGATTGTTGAGGATATTGAAAATCGATATATAAAGAGAACTGGATACAGCATTGGAGGCAGAACGCTGTTCATTCCAATGAAAGTTGCTCAGTGTCACATAAAGCCAAAAATGTTCAGGTGTCATGTATAAAATTACCCTGATGACTGGCATTGCTTCCCCATTATTGAACCCATAGAGCAAGGGCAGTGGAGGCTTCCCCCAGCTGAGTCGGCTACTTCCAGTTTAGTGCACCGCTGATTTGAATGAGGATAAAAAGATTTAATCATACGCTTACCAAATATTATTGGACCGAATTGATCCTGATAGGGAAAAAGTCAAAACAATATAGCCACTGACTTACAGACGTCTCATTCCCAGAGTAAGTCTATGGGAAAAGTAATTTCGGAAGTACTCAGAAGTTGTAATTCTGCTGTTTGGCCACTACAAAAAATGGCTTCAAAGCCTGGCTACTTCCTGGGGGCCTAATGTAAATCAATTTCTGACATTTTCAAAATTCAAAATGTCCGTTTAAACTAGAGGTGGCCATATCTGAACTCCCTGTGGGTTGTTAATTTGTTGTCAATTTTGAGTTGATTTAAAAGTTGTAGAGGACACTGCATCAATTGGATTGACCAAATAACTTTAATAATTTATGAACATGATTATACAAATGATGCAGAATATATATATATATATATATATATACATTTTAATTCAAGGGGTGACTGACAATTGGGTATTGGAGTTAACAAAGTTAGGTACCGTACTAAACTACAATAATATACTGTAGCCATGACTAAATAATATCTTCAAAAAAAAAGGGGAGTATTAAAAGAAAAAGAAACGTCTGGCAGTCTTTAATTGCTGGGGACACATGCTTTGGGGTACTCAGCATTTCTGGGTTCACAACAGGCAGTAGTGTAATGGTAGTTGATAAAGTAGGTGTACTACAGCGTACATTACTGAAGGGGAAGTGGGTATAGGCTACTCTCCTATATATTTTAATCGCTTTTCTGTCTGACAGATGCGTATACTGTAAACAGTCAGAGACAGAGGTTGGTATACCCTGTATACCTGTGTATATCCTCCATTACATCACTGACAATAGTGCTCTATAGGCTGGAGGATAGACTGTTTCATCAGTTATGGGATAAAAGCATACAACTGAGTTCTGCTTGGTGCAGTGAAAAATATGAACCAAAGAACTAGCGACTCTTTAAATGTCTATATCATTTATAAATAGGCATCATTCTGTGCCTATACAGGTAACCTCTCAGTGTTGAACACAACCATATCATCCTGTATCCCCTACTCTCCACCGTCTCTCTAACAGTTGCAAGAATTCATCAGCTTGCCCAGTCACCACATCTCAGTCCAGATGAACATTTGGGATGAGATTTTTGGAGCGGTGATCAGCTCTCAACTTGACACACTTGCAGAAATAACTGGAGTCGATTCGGGCCGGAATTCTTTAGAAAAGCTTTCAGCAGTTGATTATGGCTAATTAGAGTATAAAAGCCAGTGCGCCTCGTTATTACGAAGATGTTTCAAGCATCATGTCCTCTGAATATATTTTACATGCTGACTTGAAAGGAAAATTTCAGTGGTGGATTTGTTCAGAGGATATCATCTCGCCAGACATTCGAAAACATGAATCAAAAGTAATGGAATAAAGTGAGAGTATAGGCTTTACTGCATTTGATACATTTCACTATCTCCTGCATAACGCCTTCATCTGAATACAGTTTGCTTCTCTCGTGTCACTTTCCTGTAGCCTCAAAAGAAATCACAGGACATCTGGTGCAGGTTTTTGTTGTCAGTACGAGACTCCCTAAGGCCCTCGGACTGACAACACTCTCACACATTTCACTTTATTTTCTGTCTGACTCCAGGTGATGTGCTAGGTCTTTAATTAGCTGTATATCTGGAGGGGAAGTAAAAACTTTCTGGGACCTCTAGCAAAGTCTCTCTCTTCAAGGTTGATTTGACGCTCTCAGACCTCCACGTTTTGGACAAGAGTGACGCAAACATTAAAATTACTTCCTGTTCTCCTTCATGTGAGTAGGTGACACATAAGCTGTGCTTTGTGTGACCTTCCTGTGGCTAAAGGAATGATCAGATCCTTGTATTAATGGTAGAGAGTCCTTCAGCAAATTACTGAACTCATCCTGCCTTCCTCACTCAAGATCCCTCAGAATAACAATGAGTATACGTTTGTTTAATGTCGAGGAATCATTCTCTGAACCTTTCGTCACTGCTTTTAAAAAATGACCTAATTTTGTGCATCAGATGCTGAATCTATTACGGCGAGGACTTCACTGGTTCACATAGTAAGTATAAAGCTCCTCCTGCTTCTCTCCAGCCTATTCTTAACTGATGCCCTTCGCCTGTCCACTGTTATTTTCAGATCACTGTTGATAGATGAATTCCTCTTTCAGTCTTAGCCATTCTGGATTTGTACAGAGCAGACTTGGTGCTCACTTCCAGATAACTGTAACAGTTTGGTACTAATGTACAAGGAGTTTTTAAACTGAATCTGTTTGCACAGCTAAATATGTTAAAGCAACACTCCATGCTTTTACACACAAACATTGGCTTGTGATGTGATCCATTACTGAGCCTCTGAAAACAGTTGTATAATATCTTCTGCAGCTCTGGAGGAGTGTTGCCAAATCGGAGAAAATAACCCTGATGATGTCACAGTGATGTCATCTGGGTTATCTCACTTTGAGCTTAGACACTAAAAATTTATAATGGAAAATAGGGCTGGGCGATATGGAGAAAATCAAATAACACAACGTTTTTGACTTTATACCTTGATATCTATATTGTAGTTATTTAGCTGACTATTGGTATTTTCACAAAATATTTACACAATAACATTTTTGATAAATACCATCAGTAATGTGGATGTGATGTTGAAATGGGTAGAGGCAAATAATAAGACAGCTAGAACTGTCTGCTAAGTTCAGTAAATTATAGCACATTACTGTGATGCAGCCTTTAAAACCAGGAAAAGACAACACTGATGATACTGTGATACTGAAAATCTAAGATAAGTCTCAGATCACAATATCAATATATTATCAATATATTGCCCAGCCCTAACAGAAAACATGCTCAACAAACTGACATGGACAAAGTGGTTATCAAGCTGCATTATGGTAACTGTAGGATTAAAAAATAAAAAATCTTGACTCATGCTGGGTGCTAAATGTCTATATATCTTAGCCTGTGCTGCTTTAATTTTGATGATTTGTTAAAAATTAGGTCTTTGGAGTTTCCTTTTAGTGCTGAAAAACTATATAAGGTTGGCACCAAGCTGATATTTGTTGATATAATGTGCAAATATTTTACAAAATATTCTTAAACTTCTTAGTAAATATTTGCATTTAAATGTCTTGTGCTTTTCAATGATTTGCCTATTAGATGTGTTTTCCTGACACGCACTTTAATTAATTTACTCATTCTTACTTTCATACATTAAAGGTCCAGTGTGAAGGATTTAGAGGCATCTATTGGCAGTAATGGTGTATAATATTTATAACTGTGTTTTCATTAGTTTATAATCATGTAAAACTAAGAATTGTTGTGTTTTTGTTACCTTAGAATATGTTGTTTATATCTAAAGACAAAGCAGGTCCTCTTCCATGGAGTCGGCCATGTTGTTTCTACAGTAGCCAAGAATGGACAAACCAAACACTGGCTCGAGATTGGGCTATTCACGTTTTTGCATCAGCCACCACAGTTCTACATGCTTAGCACATGGGAAATGTTTCAGTTCTGCAACTTCACCACTAGATGCCACTAAATCCTACACACCTGGACCTTTAATTCATTTTCACATTGACATATTTTAGTATTTTAGTGTTTAATTTTCATGATTTCAATGGCTCCTGGAGCTCAGGCAGCAGAGGAGTAGTGACCATGACCTCATGACCTGCTTGAACAGACTCTTCAGATGAGCACCACGTGGTTTGAGGCCACATGAACCAGAAAACACCTGTGCTGCTGAAATGCAGGTTCTTGCAACCTATAGTTAACCCTGCAGGTATTCCAGTGGGCACCTGGGTCCTGCTGAGTGGCTGACCCCATCATTCAGTAATACCTTACTATTTAACCATACCTTCTCTGGCCCCTGGAAGCAGATCCGGCACTGCGGTGATCGCATCCCGCTCTCCGAGAGACTCGGGAGTGAAGCGGCATCCAGGCCTCGTCCCTGGGGTTTGTCTTCTTCTGTATCCTCCAACGCCAGGCTGCGCGGCCGGGAGTTAGAGCCATAATACTCCTCCTCATCGTCCCGGTGAGTGCAGTTCAACGGCGGCCAACCACAGCCACCTATGGCGAGCCCTCGCATCCTGGTCTGCGTGTCCGGGTCTGTGCCCGTGACAGTCCTCCTGCTTGATCCAGAGCGCATCAGTAACAACACTTTGAGTTCATTGAAAAACATCCGGATCCGATACTTGAACATTCTTCAGCAGCTTTACTACACAGGCACAACTGCTCTGTGAGATAAAACAGCCTTCAGCTTGACTGTGGCAAGTCCATTATAAATTACCATCATCATCATCATCATCATCATCAACCTATTATTATTATTATGGTGGCATCTGAATCATTTGATTAGGCAGTTCACATCCTATTAAATAAAATACAGATCTCGGTCAAAAAAGCATGCGGGGAACATGATAGGCTATTAGATCAGCCCATAGCTCTTTGCATATCCTGTTGTTATAGCATGTGCACCGCGATCCAGCCAATAGGGAAGCATTATTTCTCATGGATAGAGGCGTTTTCATTCGGGATTCAATGGAGGCTGAAAGCCACGAACTGTGAGGCACCAACATCAGAGTCCGAGGGGTCCAACAACATCCTCCCATGCCTAGGCTACATGTTCAATCCGGTTGTTTAATGGTATCCCAGAGCTCCCTTTGGGTGGTTGGAAATCAGCAGAGGAGAAAATGTTGGTGTCTATTCTTCTCCAGGCGGAAAAGCATCGAGGGTGTCTGAGGGGGGTTGATAGGCTATTAAATCCTATTAACAACTAAGTCAAAGCCGATTTATATGTGAGTTTCATCATTTACCTACAGGGTGGAGGATGTTACACGAGGTGACACGCGTGCATCCTTTGTTGTCTCGCAGTGGCATCCATCAGTTCACCACTTTCCCATTGTCTCTTCTTCTTCTTCGCTGTAGCCTATTTCTTGTCTTTATTTTTGGCTACTGGACCGAGCGGGTTTCGTCCCACACCTTGCCCCCTTAAGCGGGTCCGACAGCCCGGTAGCGTGTCACAGATGAGATGCGATCAAAAGAAAATCTGGTGACTAATAAACAAATATCCATTGCACGACAACTTGCACTCACAGTTCTGTGTTTTTCCCAACCATCTCTGCGCCACAAATCAGGAAGATGGAGAGGGTGTCAGATATGGATTCCCCCCCTGCAAACACAAAATGAGCCGACAGCAGACCGCAGCCGTCCCTTCCGGGTTGTTAAAAACAACCGCACATCACCATCATCATCATCATCAAAACATCACCAAATGAATCAAGGCCTTCATGAGTCAGTGGGACAATAAAATGCTATACTTCACATGGCAGGCTGCAGCGACGGGTGCGGGATCTCCAGGTGAGAAAACTTCATTTTGAGTTGGTTTTCAGGCATGTCAGCTCCATAAAAAGCAGAAACTTGTTTGTCTGTGTAGTTACAGAGCGCAGGTTTCCATTAAAAGCATCCTGCAGCTGAGAAGATGAGCTCCATCCACAGTGAGCAGCGCACTGACACAGGCTGCTGTCCGAGGTGCTGATGTTCATGTGACGTGGGGGCCACGTGCTGATATGCAGCGGCTGATGGAGAAAAGAAAAACAATTATTATAAGAAAACTCTGTGTGTGTGTGTGTGTGTGTGTGTGTGTGTGTGTGTGTGTGATCATCTTATGCATGGTGTCATAAGACTCTAATAAAGGGAACAAAGACTCTCTGACAGCAGGGCAAACAATAGATTCAATAGATCCACCACTCACACTATCACAACACATCTGTCAGATAACTGTCTCAGAGGAGACAGTCTGCTGTCTATTATTAGATAAACACACGCCTGCTTCACCCAGCACATAAAGAAGCATTGTAGCTGTTTGCTGAGTTGTACTTTTCTGAAAGAAATAATGAAAAACACATAATCTTCAGAAACTCATCCGTTGTTTCTATATAGAGTTTAAGGGTTATATTTTTGAGAGACATCTGTGATAACTGCGTATTTTAAAGGGACGGTTTACCCCCAAATCAAAAATACATATATTTCCTCTTTCCTGTAGTTCTATTTATCAATCTTGATTGTTTTGGTGTGAGTTGCAGAGTCTTGGAGATATCGGCCGTAGAGATGTCTGCCTTCTCTGAATATAATGGAACTAGATGGCACTCAGCTTGTGGTGCTCAAAGTGCCAAAATATACATTTGGAAAAACTTAACAGCAATGTCTCTTCCCATAAATCATGACCCAGTTACTCAAGATAATCCACAGACCTTGTTGTGGGCAGTTTCATGTAGGAACTATTTACCTTCTACCAAACTACACACACAGAGAACAGAAGGAAGTGTGCATCTACTCATGGATGAGAAGCTCATGCTTGTGACAGCGCCCGATGTTAACATGAACCATTTGAAACCTGAGCAAACTGGCTTGATTTCTTTTTAAAACATGGAAAGAGGACAATGAGCAGTGAAAGAAGAAGTGACCCAAAAAATGTGCAAGAATTTAGCAAAAAACAAAATTAAAAACAAGAACATCAGTAAAGAAAGAAAGAAAGTTAAAAAGAAATAACCTGGGAAGAGTGCTTAAAAATTCTGTGACATAATTTTAAAATATAGTAATAATAATAATTATTATTATTATGTAGTTTTCCCTAGATTTTTATCCCTTTTCCCTAGGTTTTTTTAAAAATTATATTTTACTTTTTTTTTTTTTTTTTTTTTTTACTTTTTTGCAATTTGTGGGACATTTCCTACCTTGCCTCCTTGCTTATTGCCCTTTTCTCCATGTTTTTGAAAGAAATCAAATCAATTTACTCAGGGTTTAAAGGTTTAATGGCATCCTCCTTGGCTGAGCTGTAACATTATCTAGCTCAGGGGTGCTAGGTGAGCTAGAAGTAGATGTAGATAGATGCGTGCTTCTTTCTGCGTGGTGATACAGTTGATACAGGTGATACAGAAAGAAAATAATTACTCAGTGAAACTGCTCTCAACAAGGTCTGTGGATTATCTTGAGTAATCAGGCCATGATTCCTAGAAAGAGACATTGTTGTCAAGTCTTTCAAATGTTACTTTTTCTTTTGCCCTTTGAGCACCACAGGCTGAGTGCCATCTTGTCCCATTGTACTGGAGAGTAGGCTAGCATCTCTATGGCTAATACTTAGCATCTGGCAGTGTCTTAATGCTATCTAACATAAAACTTTGGGGTATTCAATATTTGTGGCTTCATAATGCTGGCAAGTAGACTAATATCTAATAGTCCTATATCTAATACTAATTTATTACTTTGAAAGACTCAACAGCAATGTCTCTTTCCCGAAATCATGACCCAGTTACTCAAGATAATCCACAAACCTTGTTGTGAGCAGTTTCACATAGGATCTGTTTTCTTTCTCCTGAACTACACGCACCAACCGTATCACTGCACACACTTCCTTCTGTGCAGTGATACGGTTGGTGGGTGTAGTTTGGTAGAGAGAAAATAGTTCCTACTAACTGGGTCATGATTTCTGGAAAGAGACATTGCTGTTGAGTTTTTCATATGTATACTTTGGCACTTTGAGCACCACAAGCCGAGTGCCATCTAGTTCTATTATATTTGAGAGAAGGCAGACATCTGTACAGCCGATATTTCCAACATACAGCAACTCAGACCAAACCAATCTAGATTGATAAATAGCACTTACAGGTAAGAGGTAAAATATGTATTTTGATTCTTGGGTGAACTGTGCCTTTAACGTGTTCCTGTCTTTCTTCAATACAAATGTACAGCTAGTGGGGCATAAATGATTTTAATGAAATGTTTTAAAGTCAATAATGTGAGTAAGTGGTAGTGAGCTGTGATGTGCTGGGCATGTGCTGTGGTAGAGAGGAGTATTAGCAAACATTTTGCTTCAGTAGCTCACAATTACAGTAACATAATTTCTGATTTAGCATCCCCATTTTTCATTTAAACTCAAGTGCTTGAGGGCTTGAAGTCTTTTTTTTCATAAGAGGATTTGTGTTATTATAATCAATAATTTGTTGAATGATTGGAGCAACTTCCACTTCCAGGAAATTAACCGTTTACGTTTGACATTTAATTTGACTATTTTCTCCAGAACACCCAAAATGATTAAGGGATACTGATCTGATAGGTTGATTGGAATGATGAGACCCCTGTACGAGTAATATTAAATATATAGTTTCAGTGTTTTAAAATAAAAACAGAGCAAACAGATTATGAAATGTAAAAACATAAATACAAATGGAGATGTATAAGAAATAAAAATATTAAACAAAGAATCTAACTGTATGTGTGGTGGAGATTTTGGAGGATTAATGCTGCTCAATGTCTTGTGCAGAAACATGCATCCATGTGTTTTCCTTTATCCCAGTAACATAAAGAATCTCATTGAATGTTGCAGCCTGGAGGTTACAATCATAAGTGCAGTGGAAGCAGTGTAGAGATGAAAACCTATAGCTGAGATCAAAGGATTAGATACACAGTGTATTAAGGAGAGATATCAGTTACAGACTTTGACTGATAATCACATGTGAAGCCAACAGTGCTGCAGGAAACACACTGCAGACTGGGAAGTTTGAGCCAATGATAGTGATCACATCTGAGTGTGAATACTGATCACAGACACGTACAGTGTGTCATCATCTGTATGATAATGGACAATCCGAGGCCATCAGTGGTGTGGTAAACATGATTACAGAGCCAGAGGCACTCATCTGTCCTGACTGAGCTGATGCAATGAAGTCCCTCTGGGATATCATCAGTTTAAAGATGATGTAAACAAACGTGAGACACACAATACATAGATTTATGATAATCACGGCAACGTCAACTGCACTGAGTCAAAATGTAAAATGTTGTCTGCCTCATGGGAAAGAAATAACAAGCAGAAATGCCAGTCAAGCTGCTGCGTCAGTTGTCAGCAGAACATTAGTCACAATTTGTGGTGACAAAACTAAGAACTGGTCAAATGTTTGAGTCATCTGGGAAACAAATGCATCTCTCTGAAGTCTCAGGACTGCTGCTGCTTATTCTTTCATATCAGTTGGCCTGAAACAATAGCAAAGTGAATGATGTAATATTCTGTTTGGGAGGGGGGCTCTTCTCGCAGAGGACCCCCAAACCTTGTATCATAATCCTCAGGAATGGCCAGAGGAACGTGACAAAGAGCCCAAGGCGTTGACCTGGCCTCCAAATTTACCAGATCCAAATATCTGATCGATCATACAAGGGATGTGATTGTATCCCACCTTGCAACCCACAGGACTCAAAGGATCCCCCACTAACTCCCTGGTGCCAGCACCACAGGAAACCCCCAGAGGCCCTTTCGTCCATGTCTCGATAGGTCAGAGCAGAGTCCAGTCCACACTGGGGCCTCTGACCTGTCGAGGCATTGACACAGGATCTCTGGGGAACTGCCACAACCCACAGATGCTCGATCAGAGTGGGATCTGGGGAATTTGGAAGCCAGGTTGATGCCTTGAGCTCTTTGTCATGTTCCTGGGGCCATTCCTGAATAGTTTTTGCGGTGGGAGATGGCATATGCTGGGGGGGCCACTGCCATCAGCAAGTGCTGTTGCTATGAGAGGGTGTATTTGGTCTGCAATGGGTTTGGGTGGGTGGAGCGTATCAAGTGGCATCCACATGACATCCAATGAGATGATCAATGTCACTTCACCTGTCAGTGGCTTTAATGTTGTGGCTGCTTGGTGTATATTGTATGGAAGTATGGATATTAATTTACAAGCATACGCATAAAACAAGTATATAAACATTTTATATTTCCGGTACATTTAAAATACATTTTATTTTAAATGTATAGTATATTTTGTAAGTATTTTGATTATCATTTTCTTCTTCTTCTTAATTTATATTCTCTGTTTCTTTTCCACATGATCACTCAAAGAAATATATTTATGTAAACATACATAAGCATATCAAGACATTAATGAGCCTTTTCATAGACAACATTTAGACTCGTCTCAGGAGGAAAAGCACTGCTAAATAATACTATTAATGATGGATGAATTCCATCAAGCTGCTTCAGTTTCAGCGTCCTGGTGCTATGCTGGCTCACTGTCACACTGTCACACTGTCATGGCTTGTTGGGACACTTGAGCAGGACTGAGCCATCATTAGTGTTATTAGTTACATATGCTTTTTAGACAACAATGCATCAAAATATTTGCTGTGACAAAGGTCTATGAAAAGTGCTTAAAATGGCTGAAAATCCCTGTTTCAGAAATAAGTGGAACTGAGTCTTTAAGTGTTTCTTCAGCAGCTCTCAGAAAGCCCTGGAGCAACTAAACATTTTTAGAGAAGCAAAGCTTTGTTTTAGACTTTTGTCCAGCCACTGAGACAGTCTGCATGCCACTGCCGCTGCGCTTCATCCCCATTTTTGGCCACACTTACTGACAGTGTCTACTTTCTTCCCCTCTAGCATGCAGCAGAAACACAAATACAGGAGCAGTGGGCCGGGTGGAAAACTGTAAAAGCACTCAAAGACTCTATCCCAAATGGATTGGTTGTGCAGGACACCAGAGCGCATAAACTGTAACTGACCAACTGGGATTTTATTTATAGACAACCACAAGTCCACCATTCATGTTTTTATGCGATCACATGCTGTTTTCAAAGCGGGCAGACATGTGCAGTGTGTTTGTGACCAATGCACATCCATGGGGAAACAGAAATCAACATTTAATGGAGATTTTACAGTGGAATCTTGTTGCAGATTACTAGGAGAATAATCTACTTGCATTCAGTGACAGTCCATAAAAATTCACTACAATGCAGAGTGTTTGACACTTAAAATTGTCTGGCAGAGGACCCACAAACCCCCTGTTTTATATGTGTGTTATAATGTTGAACGGAAACCTACACCCTTCAGAGCCAGTACTAGTAAACACTGTAATGTCTCTATTCAAATGTCTGATGCACAGTTCGCTAAAGTATAAAGGCCATCAGGCTGGATGTGCATTACAGTGGACTGATCATTCAGACTGACTGAAACAGGCTCAGAGACTCGTAAATATAAGTATAAATATTGTACATTAACATTATGCTGGAGCTAGTGTATATTCCAGCAGCCAGGTGATTTAATCTTAGTTAATGTTGGTTTATGACAAAGTTATAAAATATTTTAACATCAAATCCGTAGCCATCAGAATCACCACTATACTGATGAATGTTTCTACTTCAATAACTGATTTACTGATGAAACATCAGTGATTTTAGTCATCTAAATACACAGTGTAGCTTTTGTGGTACGCCTATGCTTGTTTTTTTATTGCAATGTGTCCCAGATATCCAATAAAGCTAAGTCTGCCAGGTTTCAACTCATTAATCCAAAATGAGTCAACAAAAGAGGTGCATCAGCTCACAGAAAATGAGGGAGAGGATGTTCTTCATTTGTTTTCTATACACATTATTCCCACATAATTTCTTTTTTATAATTTCATGTCTTGTGGAACAAATATGTTTGGAAATGAAGTGATGTCTCAAATTATTAGATACAATGAAACACATTTTGGTCGAATTTAACATGTGCAAATACTCATAGACATGGTAGGAATGTGTATAATGTATGGTTAATATGCACCACCACCTCTCCTACAGAGGAACAAGACACAGAGTTTGTGATGCTTTTGCATCTTTTTGTTGCTGTTGTGGTTTTGCATCCCTTTGTAGTCGTTATGCATCCTTCAGTGGTTTTGTCACTCTTAGTGGTAGTTTCCTGAGTGGCCATCCTGTGTCTCCTTGTGGTTGTTTTGTTTCTCTTTGAGGTAATTTTGTGTCTTTTTTTGGTCGTTTTGTGTCTCTTTGTGTTTGTTTTGCACGTCTTTGAAGTTATTTTGTCTCTATGCCATTCCTCTCTGTGGTCATTTTTAGCCTCTTCCTGGTCAGTACACGTTCATTTGAGTGACATTTTGCAGGTGAATGCCATGGGGGGCCCTGAAGTTTCATCCCCCTAGGCCTGTGCCCATTGACCAATTAAGTAATCTATCCATGAATACATGGCTATATATATAAATGTGTTTTTAAGTACTCATGTATACAAATACTTGTATCATAAAACTTCAGTTAAAAGCCTAGTCCCAATTAAATACCCAGCCCCTTTTACTAGCCTGGTGTGGCTACACATTTTGATAAATAAAGGCCTGGTCTGGTTGCCAAGCAGTTCATATATAAAACCAGGTTGTTGGCTACATCAAATTATGTTTCCATTCCTTGGTTACCCTGTAAGTTATTCATATCCCTTTAGTGCGTAAGAGTCCTCAGATCAAAAGAATCAAAAGGGTTTTTCATGAAAATTAATCGAAGTTGTGAGGATTGTTTTAACAGGACAAAGTGGTGTTGTGTCGGTATGCCAGGTGCCATAATCCTCAAGTACCATAACTCACTCTCTCTGATGCTCTGTCTGTCGGAGCTAGATCAAATGAATGATTCATAATTGATATATTATCTGAAGCCCATTTTTTATACAAGTAATATTCATACTGGTTTAAATAAACAATTTGATTGTATTTCCTGATTTTTGCTGAGCAACAGTTTTGTGTGAAAGGAATTAAAGGCCTGTCTCAAATATAGGCCTGTTGATTTCAGTGATTTGAGTAAATAATAGCCCAGGTTATTCATTGGAGTTTTATGGTATTCTCTTGGTTTATTAATTAAAAAAATTCTTTCTTTCACTAATGCTGTTTTCATATTTGCAATTAGAGTTTGCACTTTTACATCTTTAACTATAAAAAAATAGGATGACTTTGGAATTATGAACCATGTAATTAAACTGATGACAAAAAAATTGTTTTTGAAAAATCTTTCACAGATGGAAATAAAGGTTGGTGCAGTTTTTACTCAACTGTAGAGTATACAATACAAACAGAGACAAATCGTTGCCAACATATTTCAAGTATTTGCTTGAAGCTCATTTGATCAGCTGAATTTTATATATGGTGGTCTTCTGTCTCCTCGCAGCTGCATGCATTACTTGTGATATAACTGATTTATGTATGACTGTTTATTTCTCTCCCTTTTTATCTTGTGCTAATATTTTTGATACATTGTTTTCTTTATTCATGGATATAAGTTAGTTTTACATGTTTTTTTGGTGAGATGGCTTTATTTATTTTTTAATCCCACCAGCACAATCATTTAACTCCCGTAAAGTATTATGCTTTATGTATTTTGTTACGTTTGTAAATAGCTACATAATTTAAAACATTTTCTGTGGTATGCTGATGTAGGTGTGTCTACATGTATGTCTAGTATCTTACATAAACAACAGCAGACAAAAAGAACTGATATAAAACCATGCATTTTGCAGCTGTGGAACATGGATTATATGATGTCTGTAACTTTATGTGCCACAACTGAGCTTTAAGGTCTCCATACATGACAATGCTGTGAAGATTTTTAGCTCCGCCTCCTCCAAGAGTTGCCAGAAGCAACAGGAAGCGACAACCCCAAAAAGAGTGCAGCAGGCTGGAAGAAAAAATAGAGGAGGCCGAAATCACAATCTGTTGATTGGCCTCTGCTCATCAGATCCACCGCTGAAGCTGCAAACCTCCACCCGGACCCGACCTGCCGCTCCTGACCCGCTTCTGGAGGAGTTTATACGTGGCACAGCAGACAGCATGTCCTCCTCATAAAGCTAAAGTAAAGCCTACCTGCCGCACAACACACACACACGCAGGCGAGGTGAGTGTCTGAGCTGTCGTTTACATGACTGTGATTCATGTGTGTGTGTGTATGTGACACTTGGGTAGTTTATGTAATGTGGCACAGATGTGGAAATGGAAGTTGCTGGCGGTGATCTGTCTCTGTCGTGTGTACTTTTTACTGTCTCCCTCCGCCACGTCAGTGAACATGTAGGTGAGGAGGGGGAAAAAGTCCGTGTGGCCTGTTGTTGCTTCACTTTTTTATGCCAGTTTAATTAACAAAGGAGCGCTATGGAGGAGCACCACGTGTCGGGACAGAGGGTTCCTGGCCTGTGTCTGCCTCCGCCCACTGGTCTGCAATGTCCGGCTGGATTAAATGAATGAAATGTGGGAGAGAAGTTTGGTTGATGATCGATCCTGACAGACTGGTGATCGATAGCGGCTGTTGGAGGCCTCAGTGTTGTGAGACAGCAGTGAAACTTCCAGGTGTTGTGCTAAAATCTGCCCCCCCCCCCTCTCCTTCCTCTGGTGTTGTGAGCTGCTCTCTGTCACTGGGGAGGAGGAAACGGGGAGATGTTTTTAGGGTGACAAGTCATGTTACAGCCTGACCACTTCCTGTAGGACCAGAACAGCTTTGACATGAGCACCACATGAAGACAGAGGAGGACTTTAAGCAGACTAATTCTGCAATCCAGTGGGGGTGTATGAGACCAAGCTGTTGTTTTGTTCTGGATTTCCCCCTGCAGTCAAATGAAGGTGGGGACACAGATCCAGATGATACTAACAATCCAGCAGGCCAGATTCGTTAATGTAAGTCAAGAACAGTGATGCTATTATATAGTTTCCATCCAGAGAGCACTCACAGATTTACTTTCAAACAGTAAAATGTCTGCCTCAGTACATATCTAGGTCATAATTTAAAAAAATGTAAGGAACTATTTTATTTTTCTTGAGTATTTTCATTTTCTGCTACTTTATACTTCTGCCTCACTACATTTAAGAGGCAAATGTTGTACTGTAACACATTTATTTATTAACTTTAGCTACTTTGCAGATTCAGAATAATTATACAAATATAATTAATAATTACAATGTGGTATTATAGATTGGGTTTGAAGATTGACAAACTACCCAGCAGATTAACTATATTAAGTCATTAAAATCAGTTCCACCATTACTAGCTTTAACATTAAAGCACTGCTTCACACATTAATAATTATAATCCAATAATAGCCTTTATATTAATGTGAGATTGAACCATTCTTTCTAATGAACACCTTTATTTTTTGGTACTTAACCCTTTGAAACCTGAGCAATTTAACCCACAGAAATAACCCATAAAATTTGCAAGAAATTAGTGAGGGAAAAAAAGAAAGAAAGTTAAAAACAAACAAAGAAATGACCTGGAAAAGTGCTTAAAAATTATAATACCATAATCTTTAATATGTAATAATAAATATTATAAATGTAGTATTTCCCTAGTGTTTTCTTTGGTACCTAGTTTTTAAAAGAATTTTCTAAACCTTTTTTTTTTTTTTTTGGCAGCTTGTGGGACATTTCTTACCAAGTTGCTCATTGCCTTTTTCCCCCGGATTTTTAAAGAAATTGCACTGAAAGCTCCAAAGGTGCTGAAAGCAGCACAAGAAAAGTGATGTTGCTCCAGGTTTCAGTGGGTTTAAGTATATTTTAATGCCAATAGGACTTTAACTTGTAGCAGTATTTCTACATTGTTGTTCTGCTACTTGTACTAAAAGATCTGAGCACTTCCTCCACCTCTGCATTGAAGTAAAAAAAAAAGAAAAATCAAGTGTTGATTGAGCTCTGTTTTGGTTATCAAGAAAAGAACTTTCTGCAATTTGACATTTGACAGCAGAGGCCTGGAAATTCACCCTTTTCTACAAGGCCTCTTTCTTCCTCATCAAGTATTGTCTCAGTCTTTGTGGCCCTCTGTGTCTCTGCTGCCTCCCACAGCAGTTGCCTCACAGTCTGCCTACAGTGGAAAGTTGCAAAATCAGCCTAATTACTTTTTATTACGCATCCAACATCTGTGACAATCTGTGAAGTCCTAATATATGATCATGTGTCATAGCTGTAGGGGCTTTCTGAGAGAGTGAAACTGGTGCTGCACCATCATAACACGGCCATGTTATTAGTAAGCATTTCAATGCATTTTTGATAGTTGCATCACACCAGAATGTTCTGGGAAGATTATGGAATTGTGTTTGTATTATCAAACATCACAAAAATCATTGGGAGAGCATTTTATAACAAAAATAAAATAGAATAAAAAGAAAGAAAGAGAAATAATTTAATAAGAGATTTACTTGGTTATTAATCCCTTTCTAAAAGTGTTAGTGAGTTCTGTTTTGTTGGTAGTTGTGTAAATGTTATTTTAATTTTGCCTGTAACCACTAGACCATAATTGATTTCTGGTTTTAATTGTTAACATAAGGCAGACTGTGTGGTCCTTTAAAGTAAATTGTTGCTCACAAATTCTAGTTCAATATTTAGGACAGTTGGGATCCCTCCTCAGTTGCTCTTCCTGAGGTTTCTACCGTTTTTTCCCCCCGTTAAAGGGTTTTTTTGGGGAGTTTTTCCTTATCTGCTGTGAGGGTCCAAAGGACAGAGGGATGTTGTATGCTGTAAAGCCCTGTGAGGCAAATTGTGATTTGTGATATTGGGCTTTATAAATAAAATTGATTGATTGATTGATTGTCACCATTAACAGTTGCCTGAAATTTAAAACAATAAACTCTATTTATATTCACATATATGATATAAAAACTAAAGTTAGTGTAGTTAGTGTATCTTACTAACTAACTCACTAACTAACTAATTGTACCAAAAGGTAATTTAAAACAAACACAAGCTCTTTTTTTTATTGAATAATGTACAGTATCAGTTCATGAACTTAGATTCCTGCAGGGTTGAAACGAAAGTTTATTGGACACACATACAGTTGGATCTTTCTCTGTATGTAATGATTTTGGAAAGAACCTCAATAGGTCAGTGATAGGTCACTGGGTGTCTCTTATATGTAGAAAATGGATACAGGTTTTTGTGAGTAGTCAACTCAACTTCATTTTGAAGTTATGAAGAATCAGCTACAAACCTTTATGACTTGAATTTAATTTGTTTGGTCGAAGCATCATAACAAGAAAGTCTGAAAATAAAACATACAACGATGCTGCATTAAAATGTTGCTTAATATTGGTGGTATTTTCGTTCTGTTTCTTCATGTTGCTGAATGAAGGCAATTATCTTATTTCGAAGGACAGTTATTTGCAGTCTTATTTCTCAGTTGAGTTCTGACATGAATAGTGTTGACAGGAATTTGTATTTCTTGCACATACCCAGGAATGCAGGCGGCTTCTCGTCCGCAGACACTGTGACTCAACTATCTTTGCATAAGAGGAAGAAATGTGGTGTGCTTAACGTGCATAATGCAACATCTCTTCCTCATATTAACTACAGTTTATACTGACCACTTCAATACTTGTGGTTTGGCATCTGAATATTCAGACCCTAGGCTATAACATCCTTAAGCCTTATATTGTTTAATTTCACGTTTATTTTCACAAGTTTATAATCAAGTATTTCACCCAGTAAAGTAAAACTGAATACCTTGAGATATAATTAACCATGTTGGGTTTTTAATGTTTGGTAGATTAGCTCTGGTGAGATTTGCATACAGGCTGTAACTGTGATTCATCAAATCATCTAAATTTTTAAAAAAATAGCCCAAAAAAGGCATATGCACCGGTATGCGGTATATTACAGCATTCACCAGTGGCTCTGTGTTCATCTATTTTCTTCTCCGGGCTCATAAAGCAACTGTGGATGCAAAGTTACAGTCCAAACAGGCTGTCAACAAAATTATTTTACAGCTGTTTCGGGAGTTAGATTTTGGAGTACCAGCTGTGGGGAATGAAGAGACTGGTATACAACAGAACAGAAGAGAATGAAATCCTTGTTGAAGTGTTTGGCTTGCAGTGGATTGTGTTTCTGCTCTTTTGTTGCTGCACTTTTCTCACTCTCCCCTGCAGAAACAATTTTAGCTGCAGCCCCACTTCATCGCTTTCACACTTTGTCTGCCCTAACAAGTCCACTGCGATTATAGTTTACACACAGTGTGGTGAGGCATGACGCCGAAATGTTTTCTATGGACAGTTTAGTATTTTATTCATGATGATCTTTTATTAAGAGATTAAAATTAATGTTTTATCTGTAGAAAAGATAAAAAATAGAAGTCAAAAAGTGGTGAAAATTGCAATTTCCTGGAGCCCAATGTGATGTATTCAAACCGCATATTTTATCCAACCAGCAGTTCAAAACCCAAAGATATTCTGTTAACTATAATTTAGGAAAAAAATGAAATGTCAAAGCCTCACATTTAAGAAGCTGGAACCAGCAAATGTTTGGCATTTTTGTTTGAAAAGTGACTGAAAGGACACATTTTCTTTCGGCTGACTGATGGATCAGTAGACTAATCCTTTCGGCTCTGGTTGCATCCATTTTTCTGACTGCAGTATAAGCTGGCTTAAAATTATGTTGGTCGAAGATATCAATACGAATCTATCACCTATGGATCATGATGTCTTTGTGGATTAAAGTATGAAAATTGATAAGCAGTGGGCAATGGTGGGTAGTAAATAAATAATACTGGAAAAAAGACAGTACACTTCCTGTTTCTTTCAGAGCTTGAGATCAGGTTGAGCATGAGTGGAGAACAGGGCTTTAATAGTTATTTTTCCCTCCATACCAACAAATCAGTCATGGAGGCAGATGTCAATCATTTTACAAAAATTCTGAGCATCATGATCAAGGTCAAACTACAGAGGATCTAAAGGCAGGCACAGTGGTTTCTTAGGCAGCCATCGCTCACCTGATAGGAGGGATGGGGTTGTGAAGATGATGCTGATGCTGCTCTGTCTTTAGAATAATGAGCATTGACATTTTGAACTTAGCACCTCACATCCTCATCCCATGAACTGTACTGGAAAAGCCCTGAAGGCAGCAGGAATAAGAGGAGGCAGAGGAGCACTGAAGCACCACTATTAAATAGGACGTAATGCCTGGTATGAAGGTGACAGGTGTCAGTGTTGAGTAGGTGGAAGGGGTGCACTGTATGGAGGCTTGAACAAAGGGAAGGAAGGAGTGGGATGATGCTGTGTCTCTGTGGTTGTGTGCTGATGGATGGCGCTGGTGAAGAGGCCAGAGGAAAGTTAGAGGGGATGGGACAGAAAAGCTGTTTTGGGTTGAGTGGTTGAACGTGCTTCCTGTGCTGGCAGAGTGGCGGCCAAAAGTCCTTCATCAAGTGTATTTGCTTTAAAATGGCGTCTCGTTCAGTGAGTCATTTGACTTCTATCAGGAGGTCAGGTACTTTGTCCTGTAGCTCGCAGATTATAAAACATTTGGCGAATGTAGAAGAGCATTGATGAATTGCTCTTTGGATATGTCTAAAAATATTTCACATATTTCAGTGCTTTGCACCCGAAGTACCTGGAGAGCTCTTACGAGGCCTTACTCTAATAGAGGCCAGCACAGCTCGCCATAAAATGCTGTGCATTAAGCTCCAAGCATAGTTGACTCCTGCCGCCAGAATGGTTAAAAAATGAGAAGAGTTGTATATTAACAGCCACTCTGTTTCCACTGAAAAGGTGAAAAGTGTGAGTGAAGCTGTCGTTGCCTCTATATGATGTTAAAACTGCACCAAACAACATTTTTAATTTAACAACAGGTCAAATGGCCATGTGCATGTGAATTATTGCCCTATGCAGTTTACCTCAGCTCTTCAAAGCAATTTAGTGTCTTGTAGCTAATTGTTTTGGTTTTACAGCTCTTAACTTTACTGTTTTTTCTTCTCTCTGCTCTCATCAACGTCATTCCCAGCAGTATCAGGGTCTTATAGACTGACTGCACTGCCAGCACCAAACAGCAGTCACACTAAATAGGCAACTAGCTGGTGGACATAGTGGAACACTTAGCAGCTAAAGAGCCGGACATTTCCTCTCAGAAGTCGGTGGAGACCAAAACTGAGCTAAAATGCCGCCAGCCGGCTGGGAAAAATGACTACAAATGAATACTAATATCCAGGGTTTGAACAAAGTGCTTGAGGTGCTTGAAGTATTTGAATTCAGCACTCTGTTCAGTTTAGGAATAGATGGTACAATCCGTTGATGCACATACTGAGACTGTTATTGGGAGTAATAGTTCCGCCTGTGGGTTTCCAAGTGGGGGCCAAAGGGTTATGGTTAGATGGACAGAAAAGTAGGAAAGAGCATAGGTAGATAGAAAAGTAAGAAGGAGCTAGGGGAGGCAGAGCCAAGGAGAGACGTCTGTGTGGACTGAACACTCCCCTGCCGGACTGGGCCGCACACTCTACCTTCCCCGTCTCCCCCATTTTGATGAGGGCGGAGTTTAACTGGTCAATTTTGTTGCACATACTTGAGATTGTGAGGGAAAGTTGGAGCCAGGGAGGGCAAACGCTTCACTGGGGGTAATCAGGTGGGTACTCTGCTTTACTGGTGTGTCTATGATAGGCCCACAACACCTCCAGAGGGCTCATCGGCAACACCTGGAATTTAAGTACCAAATCTAAAAATCAGACATTTCCTTGAAAATAGTACTTGAATAAAATTGAGAAGATAACAAAATGATAAAATACTTAATTAAATGTTTTAGAAAATATTTTAAACCAGGAAATGGAGATCGGCTGTGCTTGCAATTATTTTCTAATGTTGTTTGAGCAGTACGAGCTGTGACCTGCTCTGTGCTCTGTACGTGTTCCTGCTTTTTTTATTCCTTGCCAATCTCATGCCGTAACTGAATATTAATAATCAGTTAATTGATAGTAAGTCATGTTTAAGCCCTGGTAGCATGTATTTGCTCCATTTATGAATTTGCATATTTCTGTTGCAACATAAGCTCGTGGAGAAAACAATTTAATCCTTGAAAATAAAAATGAGTGCTTGAAAAAGTACTGGAAAGTCCTTGACTTTGACTTTCCCATGTCTGTATGAATCCTGAAAATCATTTTGCGTCTGTTGAATGTGTAAATAGGTTACTGTTTGCTAGCATCATTGCTATTAGAAATTAGAAAGGTGATATTTTTTCAGTGTTGTGTTTATCTTGTATTATTGCCACCAAGGGGCCAACAAAAGAAATTAAGTGAAGTAAGGAATAATACAGCGAGCGAGTCATTATTGCGAAATGAACCGTGACTGCGTGATGAAGGTCTTGCATCATTGCTGCAAATTATCTAGCTTATTACACGGCTGCTTACTAAAGAAATTAATAGTTTGATACTAACTGTTGATTTGTAAATTATTTTTTTGCTTCTGCTGCATGTCTCTGATGAGAAGTGCATCCACAGCAATGGTTTGTTATTCACAGCAACAATCTGCTAATCAGAAATACCCATCAGACCAATCAGAATTGAGTGTAAGCCCTGTAATAATGCAGGTTTAAAATGTCTGCCTCCATTTTAATGTTTAGCTGTAAGTGTTTATAGCAGCCTGATTGTGTTAAATGCTCACCTCCCCGGTGATAACTGAACTTTATCGACCCCTAACAGGGAATTGAAACCTGATTTTATTGGCTCTAATTAATATAGATGATAGAGTTGGGCAATATGATGAAACAGAAGCGATGTGTCTACTGTGAGATAAACTGCTGTAGCGTAGCTATAGTTTAATTATCTCTGGTTGTGTTGGGAAATGTTGCAAATCAGCAGACAGAGCTGCTTTAGTATATTATTTGATTTACAGGATCTTTGTATCACAGTGATGAAGTAATCCGATGTCTTTTAGGCATTTAACTCACTGGAAGAGACAGTCCTATTTTATTTAGACACAGTTTTACAATCTTCAACAATATTTGTGTAATTGCAAATGTTGCACATTCAGCACAGTCAGAATAGCCGAGTCAGCTTCTTGGCACATTCTCCAGGTTTTTGAGCTGTACAGCGCGTCCCTCTTTGATGCTGCCTATTCTGTACACAGCAGTGCTCTAACCTCTACACAATGACAGACAGCATAAAGCAGCAGTGTTTTACAAATGGTGTTACTAAGGTAAAAAGAAACAGCCTGTGTTTCCCTTTGTCGAGCGCAGTGTTACAACAGATTGGTGTGTTGTTATGCAAACTGAGAACTTACATGACTGCACCACATACAGATTATCTCCTCCTCAGACACTGATGAGGGTCAGAGGTCTGCTGCTCCATACATGGCCAGCTGCTCCGACTGATCATTAGATGAAACTCTCCTCCACGCTCCTGCACTACTTTACTTGCACTGAAGCATCCTGCAATGTCTTATTGTATATGCAGCTTCTCACAGCCAGAGAGGGCTGTTCTTGTCCAGTACTGAAAGTTCATTATACTGGTTCACTGTGGTGAGATGTTTTTTATGTCACTTGGTCCACCAGTTTGTTACAGACTTGAATAACTCAACAACTACGGGATGGATTGCTATTAACTTTTGTTTTTACGGACATTCAGGTTCCTAGACAACGTATCCTAAGAACTTTGGTGATCCCGGACTTTTCTCCTGCCGCCATCATGAGTTGACGTTTGTGTTTTTCATGCTTCCGCAGTGGCAATAGCCCTGGTTAGATGCATTATGTTTTTGGGTTGTCCCTCTGTCTGTCCCATTCTTGTAAACTTGATATCTCAGGAACGCCTTGAAGGTATTTCTTCAAATTTGGCACAACCTTCCACTTGGACTCAAACATGAACTGATAAGAATTTGGTGGTGGAAGGTCAAAGTTTTAGGTCACTTTGACCTTACAACACACAGTTTTGGCAATAACTCAAGAATGCACATGCTAATTATGACAAACATGTCACACAAATGGCTATGTCTCTAAAATGATGAAGTGACGTCACTGTGACATCATGTTCTGCAACTCAGAAGGTGAGACGTTTGGTCGGATACTGAATTGGTGACGCTAATTTTGGGTGCCCACCTTGAAACTTTGCTGATTGTTTAGATCTTATATGCTGCCGGGCCAAAGGTGTGTGTTAGACATTCACGTGTTAGAATTTGTAACTTCTTTGACGCAACATTCATATTTGAACTGTCATGGCTACAACTTTGTTTTCTCTCTTGTTCCTCTGGTTGTCCACTGCAAGCTCATTGTTTAGCTGATGTTGAGCTTCAGGTGATTGTCGTTGCACCATGTGACAAAGTTCTCTATCAGTCCTCTGTACTGATTGCAGACAGCGTGTTTCTCTGCTAATTATTCACTGGAATCATGTCAATATAGTGATAACTTCCACTTGGCCAAAAAATACACTGAATGCCTGTTACTAAATACCTTCAAAATCTTCATTACATATATGAGTCTGGACTGACATGGCTGTAAAATGCAGGTACCAGGTAACTATTAGAATAGGCAATACAACATTAAAATAAAGTGGTGTGCAAAGTACATACAAGACAAAATAATCCAGATGCATACGATACTAACATAATGCACATAGCTGTAAACTCTGTCTTTGCATGTAAAGAAAACATTAAATATTGAGACATTTGAAGAAAAGGAAAACAACCAAAAAGACTCAAATAAAGACACCAGAAATAGAAAAATTATGTCATGTCCTTTAATGTCATTTAACCCTGTGCTTTGAGCTTTACTTTGGGGATTACTGGCTGTTTGATGGTTTTATGTATTTCTCCCGCTTTGCATGTTTTCACTTTTTTGTATTTGAATCTTCATCAAGGAGCAGCCTACATTTTCTTGCAACTTTATTTTTATACTAATTCAAAGTCTGTCTACTGGGTAGGTTTGAGTTTAGGGTCATTTTAGTTAACATGGACAGTTGATCCTAGATGAAAGCCAGTGGGAGGGGGGTCTGTGTTACTTTCTGTTGTATTATGTAGCGATGTGTTTAAAGTAAAGCTAGTTTCTAGTCAGTCCCAGTTTCATTTCCAGTATTTTCAGTAGAACAGCTCCAGGCTGCAGATTTGTGCGGTGTTTAAAAATCTCTGCTTCCTACTCTTTTTAAGTCGTTCATGCACTTGGATTTCAATTTTTCCAATAGAACTTAAAAAGTCATACATATAAGAGGGCATGTGGGCTGCTAAGAACAAGACAAGTCTTTTTAATTTTAAATAGAGCACTGAAAACTCTACATACATAATTTATAACCTTATATTGTCTTTTTATTGTAATTAATAGCATTAAAAGGTTTTGCATCTGATTTGATTTGATTTATGTGTCATACTCTGTCTCCAGTCTGTTTGATATTGGCCATGGCCCACGGCACCAGTATCCAGTATGAGCCTGTGGCAGAGATTGGAGGAGGCGCATACGGGACAGTTTACAAGGCCCGGGACACAGAGAGTGGGCAGTTTGTGGCTCTGAAGAGTGTGCGCGTCCAGACAGATCAAAATGGCCTCCCGGTCTCCACAGTCAGAGAGGTGGCTCTGTTGAGAAGGCTGGAGCAGTTTGATCACCCCAACGTGGTCAGGTGAGACAGCTGTCAAAGTGCTGTGCCATTTACAATTCACCTTGAACACCTCTTACAGAAGTCTCTGTTTTTGCTGTGCATTGCAGACTTATGGATGTATGTGCCACCCAAAGATCGGACCAGGAGACTAAAGTCACTCTGGTGTTTGAACATGTGGACCAAGACCTCAAGACGTACCTAGAGAGAGCCCCAGCTCCAGGATTATCCCCCACCCGCATTAAAGTGAGAAATGGAACAATTTCTGAACAAAACTGCATAATCTGTCAAATTGATCAGAAGGAAGCAAACTGGAAAGAATGGAGTGGGTTGTTTTGTTATTTAGGGCCTTTTAGCCAAGTTTTAAAGCAACCTCTGTTGAAATATTTAGTTACAGTTGAAATATTCCTGTGTGTTTCTGCAGGACCTGATGAGGCAGTTACTGTGCGGCCTTGCATTCCTTCACTCTAACCGCGTGATGCACCGAGACCTGAAACCAGAGAATATTCTGGTAACCAGCCAGGGCCAGGTGAAGCTGGCTGACTTTGGCCTGGCCAGGATCTACAGCTGCCACATGGCCCTCACTCCTGTGGTAAGAACTCACCTGGACTGCACCAGTAGTGTTTTTTGTGTCGCATATACAGCGTTTTCCAAAGCATATAATTATTTATTTATTTATTTTTAGTTTTAGTTTTAGTTTAGTAAATGCTAACTTGTTCACAAAGATAGTGCTAACATGCTAATGTTCAACAGGTGATAGCTACCAAGTTTAGCATCTCAGTTTAGCTTGTTAGCATGCTAACATTAGCTAATAAGCACTGTGCACAGTGCACAGCCTGTGACTTGATATTTGTAATGTTGTAAAATTAATTTTTAAAGAAAGGTCATATGGAAGGTAATGTTCGTAGGTCTGAATTCATTTTTAACTAGAGTAGAGCTGTTAGGCAGCTCTTGAGCTAAATGCTATCTTGTAGACAGGGAGCATGCTAACATTTGCTAATTAGCACTGAACACAAACAACTTGTGACTGGATATTTATACTGTAGTAACGATAATTTAAAAAGAAGGTCACCTGGAAGGTAGGAAGTCTGAAATCATCTCAATTTAGACTTGATATTTGTAATGCAGTAAAATTAATTTTTAAAGAAAGGTCATACAGAAGGTAATATTTGTAGGTCCAAAACCATCTCAGTTTAGCTTATTAGCATAATAACATTTGCCAATTAGTACTAAACACAAAGTACATACTGTAGTAAAATTAGTTAAAAAGAGAGGTCACCTGGAAGGAAGGATGTCTAAAATGTACGGTAAGCTTTGGAAAATGGTCAGCAGAGCCAGAGCGGCAGATTAAACACAGTTATTTTGTTGTTGATGACCGAAAAGTTGCAAAAGAGTACATAATTTCCTACATGTCACCATATGTTTTTGTTGGTTACTGATTTTCTCACTTGCATTGAAATGATTATACAGATGATGGATTCCATGTTTGTGTCTCCCAGGTGGTGACACTGTGGTACCGACCCCCCGAGGTTCTGCTGCAGTCCAGTTATGCCACACCTGTGGATATCTGGAGCACTGGCTGCATCTTTGCTGAGATGTTCAGACGCAAGTGAGTCACCAGAGTGATGTTCAGATAAAGATGACTGGCAATATATATATATAATCCTGTTTATATGTTTGTTATGATCAGTAAGTTGTATTTTGATAGTATGTGCATACCTGTGTCAGTGTTAAAATCCAGGTTTAAAAATATGTCTCTCAAAAACATGAACAGATTTTGATATAATTCCGTGAGAAGAGACGCCTCAGGCAAAGGAAGAGTGCATTAGATTTTGGTAGTGATCTTATTAAGTTACAAAGTAGCAGAGATTCGATTACATATATCCTGAAGGTACCTTTGCAAGGTGCAGGTTTGTGCTTACAAAGTGAGTTCTAGTTTTCTATAACTCCCCAGGCTAGCTCAGAGTTTGAAAACCACGTCTCCTACAAAATACATATATACCTCTAATTTGCTTTGCCAAACACGTTTTGGAGGAAACGGCTTCTTAGATTATGTTGTTTGGCAATGTTTTTTCAATCCAGAGAGAATTGCATCTTTGTATTGCATATAAATAATAAGGGTAGGGTGCACAAAGCACAGCCTCCTGTTTGTTTGTTGTTAGGTTTAGTTTACTAGGTTGGGGAAAGATTGTGGCTTTGGTTAAATATTAACAAAAGTCTTGTCCCATCTTGTGTTTCAAGTGAACAGATGAAATGAATTAACAACGAACAGTTAGCTTATATGCTAAATATAAATGTTTCCACATTATGTTGTTTGAAAAAACATCTCCTTTAAATGCTAATACAAACTAGCTGTACATGAACATAACTTTTAAGAGCAATGTCTGCACACAGAGCTTTTCCTTTTTATAGTCCCAGCCATACTAACACTATATTATGAGTCATTAGAGAACATTGAACACTATACAATATGATACTGATCTTCTTGGCAGAGAGAGGTATGTATTAACGTTAGGCTCATTCTCTCATTGACGATAATAGGAACACTCATTACCTGGGGATGTGAGCGTCCAGATTTTAACTCAAACATATCACACATCTAAACGTCAGAGCAGCCGTGATGAGTTTGCAGAGGGTTCAGATTTTATCTGTAAATGGATCACATTACAAGGTTATCAGAGGCTCCGGGGAAATCTGGTCTGGAACTTCAGACTGTCGGGAGGTGAAAGTGGGGAAAAACAGCTTTGCTTTGCCACACTCATTATGTTATGGCATATACACGTTTTTTATTTCAGCCTTCTTCCAACCAAGTCTGCAATAAATTTACTCTGAAAACTGCTATAGTTTTACTTTACGTCTTGAAGTCAAGTGTAATCATAATCATCATGCATGTTGATACAAACCCACTGACAGCTCAAAGACTTCAACACATCCAGACATGACTGGTGTGTGCATGCCCACAACAGTTTGTGCAAGCAAAAGCCTTAAAGTGACTGAAGCTTTTTAATGCTCATTAGTCTTGTTTGCAGTGTCTCTCCCTGATTAGCTTAGAACCAGTGCAGTGACACACACGGTAGCTCCATCTAGTGGTACAAATGACACAATGCATGAATACAGCGGTCAGCTCCAGTATGGAAATTCATGCTTCGAAATAATTACCTTATGCCTAGTTAGTGATAGTGATGATACAATAATTTGTTCATAGTATCATTAACAAGTTTATGTAGGTAATATTATGCAAGCTTATTCAAACAGTAGAGTCATGAAAGTCAATGCCAAGCTGTTAATCTGTGCCTAAAGGACATCATGTTACTGTTTGCCCTCCTGCACAAACAGCAGTTGCAGACATGTGACCTTATACAATGTCTGCTTCAATCTATTAACTTTGGTACAAACTTTCTGTCTGTTAGACCTTTGTTCTGCGGAGAATCAGAAGTGGACCAACTTGGCAAAATTTTTGAGTGAGTAAAAAAAAAATAGCCTCCATCACATTTACATAACTATATGATTCATATATCTATTTTACTGAAAATTCTGTTTTATTTCAGAGTTATTGGCCTGCCACCAGAGGATGAGTGGCCGACTGACGTAACACTCTCAAGAAAACACTTCCTCCCTCTCTTACCTCGCCCAATCACTGACTTTGTTCCAGAGATAAATGAGCAGGGGGCGCAACTATTGCTGGTAAGACTTCACCGTGAATTAAAATTAAAGCCTGAGTCCATCCTTCCTGGAAATTGATTCATTTTCAGCTGTATATAGAGTTGAAATCAGGACAGTAACAGATCATTAACCTCAGACTCCAGAGGAACTTTCTCTTTTAATAGTCTGCTGATGTTTAACACAAGCCACAAAATCTTCACTGGCGCGCTGTTAGAAATTCTCATGACTAATGTTACCTAACCAGCTGGTTAAACCAGAGGAGAGAGCAGGACACACAGCAGTCCCATCTGAACTTGGACAGTTTTCTTTATGCATTATAATTTACAGTGCTGGTAAAATTTAACATAAAACGTAAAATCACATTTTTCTTAAATGGAGTAGTATTTAATTTAACAAGAGATCTAAAAAACAAAATATACAGCAAATGTTGCTTCTCTGGACAAGTGCCTTCACAATACCTTTTAAAGTAAATGGTATATTTTATTTTGCCGCTCTCCATATAATGTAGAAAATAAAGGTTTAAAGAGAAAGTTTGGTATTTTTCAGCTTGGACCCTGTCTTCCCATGGTTTTGTGACTAATAAGCTTTTCACACTACATTTAGCCTCAGGCTAAGGGAGCTGTCAGCCCGGGGCTAAAACAGCATCCACACCGGTACAATCCTGACACATTCCAAGCAGACTAACCCTGACTTAACCCAGGGCTTGCTGGCCTTGCTCTGGAGCTTGGTTAGCCCTGGATTTTCAGGGTCAACCCCTAAAAATGGAATTAAACCAGGGCTAAAAGTTGCCGGTGTGAAACAGATCTAAGTGAACTATAGAATTCTATAATGTTAACATGAGTTACGTGGTCCAACAGAAATTTAATCCAGGGCGAAATAGAAGTGCAGTATGAATCCTATAGCCCTGGGCTTAGGTTAACCATGGTCTTAACAGTGTGTGTGTGTGAAAATGGGCTAAGTTTAGACAAGAGCCAGCTCTTAGTCAAAGGACAACGATAGCCCTGGACTAAGAGAACACAGTGTGAAAAGCTCAAAATGGAAAGAATTTTTATATGGGTATAGTATTGAGTGAGAGCGCTGTGAAATGGGCTGCAATGTAATTCCCCAGTGTTCTCACTAAAAGTGGTTGGTTTTGCTATTCACATGTTCAGATTGTTATTATAAGTATTTGACAACATTATGGAAAGGATCCTACAAAGAAATAAAACATTGTTTTTAACCTTTTGCTTGATGCCATCTGTTTGTTATCAACTCTTGAAATACTTACGAACGAGACTTCTCCTTGAGTGAGACTTTGTTAGGCAAACAGACTGGATAAAGTGAAAGGTAAAGAAAAATGTTTATTATCTCTGTAGGGTCCTTTCCATAATGTTGTTGGACACTTATAATAACAATCTGAGCATGCCAGTGACAAAAACAAGCACTTAAACTGGGCATACATTCATGTCTTAGTTGCCCCAAGTGGTTATATTGCAGCCCCTTTGCAGCTCCTGGCTGCAACGCTCTGTCACAGTACTGGATTATTTCAAAAAATGGTTGTTCCCATTAGTCACTTAGACACAAAATGTGGGAAAATGGGTCCAGGTTGAAAAATACAGAAGCTCCCCTTTAAGTGTGAAATGAAAAACACGATTTTAGGCAAGAATTTGTTAAAGTATCTAACTCCTATTGACCATAGAAGGCTAATGAGTTATATTAGATAATTTTTGGTGACTTTCTTAAACTTCTTTTTTTGACCAGTAACTTCCTGCTCTTTCCGCTGGTTGCCTGGCAACTGTCCTGGCCAAAAGATAGTATTGCACATAACCCTGCATAAACAGCATATTGTCTTTTATCTTTGATTTTTTAAATGGCTTAAACAGATGAGATATAAACATGTTGATTAGAGATCTTTTGAGTTGCTGGTAGGTAGATTTTCTTACCTTTGGGCAGAGCCAGGTTTGCTGATTCTCTCTTGTATCCAGTCTTTATGCTAAGCTAAGACAAAAACAGAGAGTGATATTAACCTCCTCACCTCACTCTCAGCAAGAGAAAGGATAAATGTATTTCTCAAAATTTGGAACTGTTCCCAAGACCTGACGCAGATCTAATATCCTGCTATTCTTTCTTCCACAGAAAATGTTGACCTTCGACCCTGTGAAACGAATATCGGCCCTGAATGTCCTTGAACATCCATATTTTCAGGATCAGGAGACATTGACTTGAAACGATGCAGTGAAATGTGCAATGAGAGGTAACAGTGTCTAAGTTTAGACCTGGCCTAACCTTAAAGGATTTAAAATTTATTCAGTGCATTACCTTTCAAGACGCCTGGGTTGTGCTTTGGGATTTTTTTTTGTTACTCCTACATCAAAAAAGGATTAAAGCCTGAGAAATGGAATAAAAAAAGAAGAGGAGTGAACAGACGGATCACTGGCATGCTTTCCGACGTCACAATTAATGATGTTAACATGTCGTGTCTTCAAGGACAGTACCAGTGTTTTTGATGTCTGATTTATGTATCAGTCCCGTCCACAGGGACCGATGCACAGAAACGTCTGTCGTCTTCTCTAAATGTTGCTCTTGTTACTTTTGTACAGTGTTTAGACAGAGGGAAGCGGAGATGTCGTCTTTTCTTGTTACAGGCTGAACATAGCCTGACAGAAGTGACACCTCAGGGTTAGAAGAGCCAGTTGTTAGTGATCGTACTGTATTTTTGTTGATATTTATCATACTATCATACTAAAGGAACAAAAAGACCATGGGTTTTGGGAAAATCATGAGGAACTGAAATAATAGTCTGAAATATGCAGAAGAAAATGCACAAGAAAGACACACATGACAAAAATACTGGTATTGCCCTTAAATATTGTTATAAATTGTTTCTTTTGTCCAAGGACTGAAGGGTTGGACTTCATTTCATTTTTAACAGTTTCTGTCTGTTTGCTAAAACCATCTTAAATCAACCAGCACTGCAACTACAAATGAATTAAAAAAAATGTAATCACATTCAGATTTCATTCGTATATTATACAGATGACAGTATAACATGGATAAACATGATTCTATGAAATATTTTGTGAAAAATACAATGAACTATATCAGATACTAACAAATAAAAGTTAGCGTCACAATGCTGTTTTTGTTTTCTAATACTGACCAAATAAACAGTTAATGAATGTGGCTGTCTAAATCAGCAAGAGCTGATTTCTTGTACTTTCTTTTTTCTCCTTTTTTAAAATTTTTCATTTTATTCTATTTTTTTTTTTTTGCAGATTAGTGTTTGCTTTTCAAATTGGGGTGACCAAATGATTTACTATTTCACGTTCATAAAGTAGCTGGAAGATTTGCAAGAGATGGATGCTAAAAGAAATAAATAAATCGATCACGTATCCTGAATTTAGCTCATGATGATATTCAAACTCCAACGAACAACAACATTCAATTCTACATTTCCCTTAACATAACTCGATAGTTTCCCTTCCTGCCCACTAAATGCCACACCTTTCAAACCCCACCCCCACTCCACTCAGGGTTTATGTAAATGTATGTAAATTGGCATTTTCCAGGGTCAAGCCCCAATGACATCATTACAGGATATTTTCTCAGAAACGTTGCAGATTTTCAACCAGCTCAGTGTCATAGCAGTGTGGGCAGTATGTGCAAATGAACTGTATTTGGCTTCCCCCATGCTGCAAACCCCAGAACTCCCTACCCATCTAGCAGAATTATGTGGAACATGTCATGGAAATTGGCCGCGTTTTGGGTCACCCAGCAGTCAGATGAGTAGAGTGTTTCAGGCACTCGGAGCGCAAGGGGAAGCACACAGTTCATCTGCACACACCGCAATGACACACACCTGGGACACACAATTGGCAGTTTCCTTTTAAAAAAACTCCTTTCATAACCAGAGGAAACATTGAGTACTTTCCATGCTCCAAAGCTCACCTTGAACTGGTCACTGTGGTCACAAAAAAGAGAATCTGATGAGTTAGGTTAACAATTACTAAAAACTGTTAAATTTCCCAACATTAAAGAATGTCAGATTGTATTGCCCAGTTATTGGCCAACATTTATACACAGTATAATTTAGACCTAAAATGACATAAAGGCTGTTATTGTGGAAAATTGGCCTATTAGCTTTCCTGCTGAGTAAGATGAGAAAACTGAAACCATTCTCATGTTTGTATTGTAGCCTAAATATGAAGCTACCACCAGCAGCTGATTAGCTTAGCATAGACAGAAAACATGAAACAGCTACCCTATATCCAAAGGTGAAGGAAAAGTTGGCAATAATATGCTATAATTAATCTGTTTAATACATACAGAAACCTAAGTGTAAAAATGACAAGACAATGACCATATATAAACCAATAAGATATAATGTGTTGATTAGTAAGCTTTAGAGGTGTGTGTAGGTGGATCTTGTTACCACCATTGTTCCAAGGCAAGCTAATTGTTTTCCACTTTCATGCTAAGCTAACTGGCCTCTAGCTTCAGCTACATATATTATCTTGCAGATAAATAAATGATAGTTATCAGTCTTCTGCTCTAACTCTTGGCAAGAAAGTGAATAACCCAAAATGTCAAACTAGTCCTTTAACCAATGAACTGAAGTAAAATTCTGCTCCAGCTGTTTTGCAGGTTACACTTTCCTCCAAATTTGACAATTAGCTGTCATTATTTCATCAAAATAAGAAACTAATTTCCCTAAATTGATATAATGTGTCAATCAAATCCACACATCTCATTATTAAATATTATTATTACATTAAGGTGACAGTATTTACCTGAAGCTAATATTCATGTGCACACATAATTTTTATTCAAAGTGTATTATTACAACTTCTATATTTAGCTCAGAGTTTCCCGCTTGTAAGGTTTACAGTGTTATTTTCTTTGGTTTTAATTTCTGTGATTTGATTGATCCAAATATTAATTTATAAAGGATTGGAGAACTCAAATTTAACTGTAGGAGGAAAAAGAACCTCACTAACTTGATTTTTGATTTTTTTCTAGATGTCAACATCCTTATGATGGGCAGAGGAGCTGAGAGAAAAGAGAAGGGTGCTCCCCTGAAGAGAGATTATGTAGTGACAAGAGAAATATTTTTAAGAGCTATTTGTGCATGTTTTATCTCCAAGAAACTGCTTTCTCCTGTCCCTCTTCTTTTTATTCTTTACTGTCCTGCATCATTACCTCCAAACCCAAATTAGTATCTTCATTTTCCTCTTTATGTAATTCATTAATATGCCCCTTAAATCAGTTTAACTTCTTAATCATTTTTATTCTCTTTAACGTCTTCGTGTATTTTATTCCCTATTGCAATGATCCGTAGACATCCAGATTTATCCTGTGCGTCCTCGCTTCCTTGCTCAGAGGGGACAGACAGTGAGACAGGGAGAGAAAGCAGGAGCTGCCCATAAATTGCTTTGGAAGAGGAGAGGGGAGAGACAGAGCTGGAGACAGAGCGGATGCATTGGCAGGAGCAGAATTGAGGGTTTCTCTCTCTCCCTCCTGTCTCTCTCTTTTGTTGTGTCGACACAGATAAAAATCTGATGCGCACTGGCAAGGACCACCACCACCACTACCACCTCACTGCAAGCGTCTCATCCCCTGCCTGTTTGTCTGAGCTGAATCTAGTGTGGAGCCGGTTGTGCGGCAGGCTAACAGTGGGCTAGCAGGGGGCTGCAAGGCTCTGTGGCAGCCAGAAGAGGAGGAAAAAAAGGAGGAGGGGCTGTGGTGAGCTGGTGGGCTTCCTCTGCCTCACAGACACATTTTATTGACTTGCTAATTGGATGAGGCACTCGGAGAAGAGGATGCGGTGACCGAGAGGAGCTGCTCTCCAGAGGAGGGATACGGGCAAAAGGAAGCATCGCTTGGGTTGCTTAAACCTGGCTACTTCATCTCTTTTTTTAAAAAAATTCTGGAGACATAACAACAGATGTTTTTCAGCATCTCCCAGTGACCCTCACACCGTGCATACATAATTTTATGCATGACATTGTCGAATGGAGGCTCCAGCTGCCAGACGCTTCGTGACAAGTGAATGATTTCCATTTTGATGTTTTTGCACCCTGTTCCCTTTCACCTGTTTTTTTTTCTTGGACTCATCAGCTGGAGCTCTTTTTTTGGCAGCCTTGTTTGATGTGCCGTTGGATATGAATGGTAATCTGATGGCGAGATAAATTCATCATCAAATCAAATGTATAAGGGACTGTGCAATGGATATTCTTCAGGACAAATGAAGGTATGATATGAGCAAAAGCCAAGACCCATACTGTAGTAAGGTGGCATTATTCAGCCAGTATTAATTTTCAGTCCCTAGTCAAGAAATGGATCAAGCGAATGCATTGGCTGTTGCATAATTCCAGGCTGAAATCAGAGGCTGAGACATCAACACAGTGAAAAGAAATGTCTCCTTGTAGCTATCCGTGTGTCTACTTGTCAGATTTCCACAGAATAAATGAGTTTAAGAAGGAAAGCAAAGCGAAGAGAGACAAGGATTATGAATGAATCAGTCGTAGAGACCGGTACTATCGCTGTGCATTGAAGAGGATTAATGGAGGCATTAAAAAACAGTCTAGACTTGTTTCACCACTGGGTCAGTCTTTTAAATACATTCTGCAAATTTGCAATTTGAAGCATTCCTCTTCCTCCCCCCCCCCTTACTCTTCACGTCTTTATCGAAGGTTCATATAAAAGGAAACTTGGATTCCTGTCAAGTGCACAGGCCTGATATCAGACATAATCAGCTTCACAAGGTTTGATCAGGTGTCTGGGTTTGATCTTGATCTTAGATTTTTCTCTCTCCTCTGCTCCAGCCTTGCCCCAGTTGCCATGACTGAGGCGTGCAGGTCTGGCTAGGTCAGAGAGCAGGTGCCACTGTGCTGAAGTCTGCTGTCCCAATGAGCAAGGCAGGCAACCCACAGAGACGCACCACCTACCTCATTTCCCTCACTCTGGTGAAGGTTGAGGCTGTGCCAGAGGATGTAGCAGGGAACCAGAGGGAGGCTCTTCCAGAGGGGGAAGGGAGCCCGAAGAAGGATGGGGAGGAGGTGAGCAATGTCCCTGAAAAGGAGGAAGAACCTGTATGTGTTCAAGTGGAGGAAAAAGAAAACACACAGGCGGGAGAAGAGGTGGAACAGGTGCAGTATGGCAAGTATGGCAGCCCTGTCGATAACTGGAGGAAGCCTGAGAGGAGAGAAACTCATGGACACCAAAAAGACATTGTGTCAGTTGGTAAAAGCAAAGACACTTCTTTTGTACATCCACCTGTTCGGCAAATGGTCAAAGTGTATGGAGGAACTACATCGGAGGGAACTGTGCGCAGAGAGGGGCCACGCTCAGACGCCATGCGCCCTAAGACAGAGATTTACAGAGAGCCCCCCATGCTGTTCCTAAAGGGGGAAAATGGAGCAGACCTGAGCAGCCGATCACGTTGCAGCCTCCCTTTCTCCATCCCGCCGCAGGTCAACCAGCGTCCCGAAATCCTGATGAGGTCACACGCAGGAAGCAACTCTGCATGCTGGAGGGAACTCAGAGAGGCCAACACAAGCCTGTATCACTCTGCCAGGACTTTGGATCGAAGGGATAACCGTTTTGGGGACCAGTCCCCCTTAATGGCAGCTACAACTCTGGGGCCTTACAGGGCATCATGGGCCGACAGTGACGGCAGGGGCACGCTCATTCGCCCCGGAGCTCCTGTCAGTGGAGGATTTTCAGGCATAATGACCAGGGACAGCCCTCAGGGGGACAGATTTAAGACGGTGTCCGTTTCCTTGCCTGCACCTCCTGCCACCGACGTGTCCAGGCCTCAAAGGAAAGGTACAAGTCGTACCCTGGACAACAGCGACCTACATTCCCCCTCTGAGGATCTGAAGAAAGGGAAAGAGGGCCAGGGAGGAACAATCCAGCGTGCCCCTCCCCGCGACCGAAAGATGCTCAAATTCATCAGTGGCATTTTCACCAAAAGTACATCAGTGTCAACTAGCGTCAGCACAGCACCTCCCCTCTATCCAGCTGTAGAGAGGGGCTCGAGTGAAGAGGAAGGTAAGGCCACCTCAAGCACCTACCGGACTGACAGGGTCTTTACATAACATTTACACGTATGTTTTATACCAACATTTCTGTTCAAATAATGTCATACATTTCTTCTTAATGATTATGAACCGCACAGTGCTGCACATACCTAAC